GCGATAATACTGTAAAACCTAACATGTGGAAGAGCATCTCATGTGGCAAACGAGCGTTGAGATTCATTCGTATATTGAGAGGCTATATTTACATTATTACTTTGATAAATAAATAAGCCAGAAATTTTCTAACCATAGTTTTTGTCATACTTCTGTATAATATAGAATATTCTATGTAATAATAAATATTCCATTACAATTTACGACATTTTTTAAATATTATACCATTGCTTTCAAAGCCTATATAAATAAAGATGAGTCCTGATGTAAAATGGTAATCTTCATTTCTCATGCGATCGATGGAATATAAAGCACAATGTCTTCAGAAGTTTCATTTATACTAAATTGATATAAACCATTTTGACGAGTATCACTGACGTCATAGCACGAACTAAGATTGATGGAGAATAAAAGAAAGGGAGATTGTCTCTCAAAAACTTAGTTCTCATTACGCCTGAAGCTATTTCGATATCTCCGTATTCTTGAGACACCGCCTTTTTTTCTAACGGGCAAAGAAAAAGGAAGAAATTGTTTTTCTTTGAAAAACAAAATTCAATGAATAAATAATATCATGTATTCAGTTGAATTAGTTTTTAATCGTGCACGTTGTTATTCATGCTCAAGTGAAAAATTCAGTTTATTATTAGCGTCAATTGCTTATAGTTAATCTAGTGCTGCTCTGCTCCCATCTTGATATTGTCATTCTTCGCATGGAAATATCGCTAACTGTTGTTTTGTTTTGTTAGTTTTATCTTACTTACCCTAGTACTTACTATTCGTTGTTGGTTAAAAAATAAGTATTCTTCGAAAATGTCTATGGTATATTGAAGTTTCCCAAGAGAGAAAAGGCGGATTTTGGGATTATGAAGCATCTTATGATAAATATGCGAGTATTTTAATTAAAATATGGAATAGAGAAGAAGAAGAAATAAGATTACGGGTATAAGCACTGTATCTTATGTAATTTTATATGAAATAGATTTATTTATCAATAGGTTTAATGAATAAAAAGAACTGACATAAACTGTTTACTTTTCCTTTTCAAACCTTTTTCTCATTTTTACGTATGAGCGCAATCAATTGTTAGAGACGCGACTTCGAAAAATAGAGATATGTTTATCATGCAATAGTAAGCTAGCTTAAATCTGATTTTTATAGCCATCCAATTAATCTATTCAAGACACCCTAAAAATATCAGTACTATGGTTCTTGGTTCAGAGGACTTATCAACAAGAACATAGCCTTAGTCATGTAACATAATAAAGAACGTCAATTTGCACTTTATCACGCTTACTTTTTGAAGACTTCTAGTTCATGCAGAATCTTAGAAAATTGAACAGAAAATTCTATGCACAATTCTTGGAGCTATTAAAATTCTATGAGTACTGATTAGTTCACTATTAGACACATGACTGTGCATAACTGCACAAACAAAAAGAAGCTTTTACACTTAATTGAAGAGTTCGAATCTGTTTTTAAACGTTGCTAATGACTGTTAAGAATTCATATACGATATTACAACAAAAGTTTTCGTTGTTTTATTCTCGATGGTCTCAAGAAAATCTTACCATTTACGTAATCCATCTCATGAGGATTTCAGGAAATTTTCAAATCTTTTTTTTGAATTCTATTAGCGAAATATTCAGTAATTAAAAAACAGGTTATGCAGTAGAATTTTTTCACATAGGAACATGCTAGAAGTTCCTAGAGGAGATTGATTCAGGCAATTTTGGAAGTTGACATAATTTGTCATCTTCCAGACGCCAATTTTTAAATGGAAAATATTCTCTCATATATATCTTGTCTACATGAATCTAGTCTTAACTTAGAATTCACTGCATGAACAATAAATGTAATCAATAATAAAATGTAATATAATACGAGTGCAACAGGCAATATCTCAAATATCAACATGGCTTAGCATTCAAGTTTTACAATCAAGTTCTATTCAACAGTCTTATTCTTATAAAAAAAACGCTATACGATATACTATGTCAGGGATGTATGAAAAGAAACGATTCAACTGTAATATCTTTCATGAAATATTTACATGTCAATAATAATTTCACTTCAGAAAAGTCTATCACACAATGACTTTGATTGACCGAAGATAGTTACACAAAAGAAATAGCGCCGTGACGCGAAAATAATTTTTATTATACAATATTGTTTCTCGCAATATTGCGTTCACAAGTCATCACCATTATTTATTCCATTCATAGTCTCAGCAAATATATTGCTTGTAAATGTATACGCAGACATCTAGTAATGCAGTGGACGCATATTGAGTCATTTTGAGAGTTTGTAAATAACTACTACTAATATCTACTGAGAATAAATTTAACTGTTAAAAATATTCCCATGCAGTCTATTCTATTCTATCATACTTACTGATAGGAAAAAATGATACTTAGGTCTGATCGAAATTTCTGTCATCATTAAATAAAAATATAGAGATAAGAAGATAGTTTTAATTTTATTTTATCAAATTTCGGGGATAGCTGCCAATATTATTTATTCCAATATCAATATTTTTGAGCTTCTTTTCTGATAAAATTTTCAGCTATCTTGGATACCGCATGAGCACAGCACATTTCATTAATTTTATTAGTTGAACCTCGCGCAATAGAATTATTTAACCAAATATTATGTAGCATTACGTATGACGAACATGGCGGATAGGAAATTACCCTAGCCGAACATCTCTTGGGATGCGCATGAGATACTTGAGGATCTGGAGGAAGAAAGTCCTGCGCTTTGGACAAATTTTGAGGTCTGTGCAGGTCAAGCGCATGAAAAAAAACCTTTGACTAGGGTATATTATTGACTTCTTCTGTCGAAACAATATCTGATGAGGAGAGCTGGGCAAGTCAAGTTGAGTCTGACTTAACTTGGCTTGACTTGAACTTTTCAAGCCAGGTTCAATCTAGTGAAAAATTTTTCTTGATTTTAGGTGCTTTTCTTCACATGAAATGGAATTTTGAGCTTACAAAAACTGTCACTCAACTGAAAGATTCCAAAAAATTTTATATTCAGGCTAATTTTTTAACCGAACTTGATTTGACTTGAATTAGCTTAATTTGACTTCATTTGATTGAAAAAAATTTCGAGCTGACTTGTGACTTGAAAAATATCTCTCTTGCTCAGCTCTGTGGATGAGTATGCAGTCAGCGATGACCATCAAGCAATTTTGTACATTTTGAACCTGACGCCTCTCTTTGTTTCCATATTACATTAAAAAAGATTTCAGATAATTTTCAATATAACATTTCTAACCTGTGCCCCTTGTAACGCCTTGATGAGGATCAGAGACCCAACTAATAATAATGTCAGGTACCACAGTATTGGTTATGGCAGAATCACAACAGTGAAAATAAAATAGTATTGAATATTGGATGAAGATCCAATTGTTTATTCAACGAACAGAGATAGTTGAGAATAAGAAGAACTCCACAAGCAAATAGCTGACACGAGATCGAACGATTGTAAGGAGCAATCGAGTTAGATTGATTGTAAAGAACAGTCAAGTTGAAAAGAAAAAGCTAATATGTAATTGATCAATTGATAGAGAAGAAAAGCAGTAGTCAGAGAAGAACAAGAAGAATTAGTATATATCTCAGCGAAGAGAGATATATCAAGCAGCTTCTAAGAAACTAGAAGAGAAAAAAAGAGTAATTATATATCTCATTTTCTGAGTGTAAGCGTGAAAAACGAAAAAGGTGCGAATGATGAAAATAACAAGCGCGACAATAAGCAACAAGAGAGAACAACACCCATGTCGCTCAAGCCGATCGAAAACCATCGGTTAACTGCGGTTCATTTCTATAAAAATCGGTTAACCGCGGTTATGCAAGCCATTTTAGTGACTTTACAGTGTAAAAACCGACGGTTAACCGTGGTTAAACGCCCGGTTAACCGTCGGTTTTTACACTTTAAAGTCTCTAAAATGACTTGCATAAGCGCGGTTAACCGATGGTTTTCAATCGGTTTGTGTGACATGGGCACAGAGGAGAAATAAACATACGTGATATAACAAACATCAAGATAAGATCAGTGACGTTGCTGTCGTCACACCCCTGTCTTTATCTGTACTCAGGACTATTTGATTGAATGAATATACGAAATAAAGGTTTTCTTCAAATATGTTTCATGAACAATAGTCTTTGACAATTCATCTTCAATATGCCAGCTAGCTTCAGCCGATTTATAACAAAGGGGGAACAGGGCGACTTCCGTACTTCGAAGTACGATGGAAGTACGTGCAGTACGAAAGTCGCGCCTTTCCCCCTTATCTATAACTAACCTATCTAAAAAAAATCCATATGTCATCACTAGTTAGTTCTAAAAGGCAATTGGCATAATCGAATAAAATTTCGCTAAATTTTAACACAAATGAAATCTGCTGTGCTCATGCAACATTCAAGATACTTGAAAATTTTATCAGAAAAGAAGTTCAAAAAGATTGATCTTGGAATAAATAATATTGGCAACTATCGCCGACATTTGATGAAATTAAATTAAAAATATCTCCTTATCTTAATATTTTTATTTAATGATGACACAATTTTTGTTCAAACCTAACTATAAAATGACAGCATGCAATACTGTTTTCCGTGATTTCAACGACTCTGATCATTATTGATGTTACTCAAAATAATTTACAGTCAACTTTTCATTCATTTGTTGTCAGTTACCAATCTATATTGCGAAGGAAACCTTTTCCCACTAACTATAAAGATATGATTGCGATCTTATATAACAACATGTACAGTGCTGCTGTACAGATGGCGCCAAAGAATATGAAATTGATTTATCGAAAATGTTTTATCTTAACTATCAGAATAATTTGAAGTCTATTCCAAATGTCATTTGAATTATTTGTGTTTCCGAAATCTTCATCAACGCCACAGGAAAATAATGGACACTAGTTAAACCACCAATCATTGTAGGCTCGAAAATCATTGTTGTATGGTCATTTTAAATAATTTTCAATTTCAAACATGACCACTCCACCACCTGTTTCTACTACAAGACCGAATGTATGTAATTATCTTGTTTCATTATTAATTCTCATTTTCGAACTTTAGGATGGTTCACTTTCGAATGACGATGCTGAAACTGGTACTAATGTTGCACCTACATCGTCGTTGTTCCATTCTGTTGAACGTCTTATTACACCATCGTCTACTGAAACAGCTGTTCCTGAACAAGCAGCAGGTGGATTTGCTGGAACATTTAATTCGATGAATCCAACACTGGCAGTATTAAAAGTAACAGCATTGCAACAAGCTGTAGGGCATCCAGTCGCTTATGCACGAGTATTAATGCAGGTGAGAATACATTGTTATCTATATAACTAGAATAAAATGATTATGCTGCTTTTTTTGTAGATGGGTTATGAACCATTACCGGCTTATCGTGGAAAAACTTTATTTGGAAAAGAATCTTTATTTTATCCAAATGTCTTTCGATATCGTTAGTAGACAATTTTGTTTCTCTCTCAATAGTAACGGCTAGAGAGAATCAAACAAATGAATTCCTATCAGGAAAAATCTCTGTACAAACCAATACTAGTTGTCTGAATTATATCAATAGCTTATTAAAATCTTATACAGAAAATATGTCAAAATTAGACGATCTATTCCTAGTCTCTTACAGTTGAGTGAGTTCAGAAAATTGATTTTGTTTTCCCAAAGATATTTCGATCCAAACTCTTTTTTATTGAAAGTTTATCAATAACACTATCAACGCCTTTTCTTTACTGTATGGTTTTGCTAGAAATAGAAATCATTTCTATTGTTTTTAGTTAAATATGTTTATAATATTGATGGTTGTACTGGTTTATATCGTGGTTTTGGCTGTGCGCTTCTATCTAAGATGGTTTGCTGGTATACGACAACAAAAATTGAAGAAGTAATGAACAAAAACAATTTGAAAAATTGAATTATTCTTTTCTATTTTTTATTTTTTATTTTCATATTAAAGCTTCTTGGACCTGTTGAGCTTACAGTGCCAAACGATGAAACTAAACCAAGATGGGACATATGCATAAAGAAGACTTTACGAGAAGTACGATGTCAATCATGGGGAATTCTTCTTTCACATCCATTTCAAGGTAGACTCGTAACAGAGATTAAAAACAAATAATGTTTAATTTTACTGATGCTTAGTGATGGCAATACGATCTATGGGGCAATTTATTGGTCGAGAAAAGATTTATTCATCAATAAATATTTTTCAAAACTTTCAAGAAATCTATAATCATCAAGGAATTGGTGGATTTTTTGTGTATGTAGAAATTTTAAGTTTTGAATTTTTTTTCGAAAGTTTATTTCTGCATCGTAGTGGTTTAATTCCTCGTTGGTTACTTGAAATTGCTACCATTGTAATATCAAATATGATTATTCATATGCTGAAATTGCAATTGCCTACTCAAACTGAAATGATACCAATATATGAATACATTGCTGCTGTAAGTTTTTTAATTGATGTTTTTGCTATACTCAATGCATCATAAAACAAAAATTTGAGATTGTGAGCTTCTTGAAAAGAGTTAACATACTTCTATTGAATTTTTAGCATAGAATGATTAAATACTTTGACGAACACTGAATAAACACTTTAAATTTTTATCTAAAAGTAGAATTTGTTAATAGTCGAATATCCTGTAAATCTTAATCTGAAATATTGATTTCTTGTTGGAATATTGAAAATTTTCGGTAATTCTATGACGGCTTCTGAGCTTTATAATAAATCAAGAGAAAAAAAGGTAATCACTCTGACAAAAAAAAGCTTCTACGAGAGTGTAAATGTAGCATTATTTCATCTTAGACTAAAAGTCACAAAAGTATTTGTATAATGTATGCTGTTTAGTTTTATGAATCGCTCCGCATGATGCACAATTACATTTCAACCAATAGTAATGAAGTTTTGACTTCAAAAAAACAGTTAGTTCACGTTAAAAATAGGCATATCTAATGAGAAATCATCTGAAACATGATGTTTTACTCTCCGTCGAAGTAATCATGTATTATGACATATTTTGAAAGCAATTACTTTAGTTTTGATAAAAACATCTACTTAATACTCAATAGTAACACCTATTTGTTGTTTTCTAAATCGTCTGTATTGCTTTTTCAACCTTGGGATTAATCTATGTTTATGCATTGCATAGATATTAAACTCATTCGAACTGAATTAAAAACGCGAAATGATACGCAAAACAATCAATGTTATTATCTTTATGAGTGATACAATTTTTGATAAGATTATTAGAAAAAAATGCTGAAAATATGTAATTGTCCAAAGAATGAAATCTACCATTCTATATACATATAATGCGAAACATGCATTTTGAAGAAAATATTCTAGTACATAATATTAATCTACATCGGGAAAAAAATCATTTCTTGTAATTTGCTTTCTTTTTTTTCAATAGTTTGTTGCTCAAACTTTTACCTATCCATTGAGTGTTGTAACAACCGTAGCAGCCGTGAATGGAAGTGGTCTTCGAGCTGGTAGATTACCTGTATCACCTATTTATGCTAACTGGCAAGATGCATATAAACAATTAGGCAAAGCTGTAAGTTATTCTTTTTTTTATATCTTATTATTAGTCAATTCCAAATATTGTTGTCTTTTTCTTCTTAGGAACAATTAAAACGAGGTTCCAGTTTCTTCAATCGTGCCGCTATTGGTATTCCTGCATCTGGTACACTACTTCGACATGCCTAGATTAATTAATCTTTTCATTTTTTTGTCTTACTCTTTTACATTTATTTTCTGTTGAAAAAGAAAAAAAATCGTAGATTAAATAAATAGATAAGCAGATGAAGCACATTTTTACGGTCAAACAAATAGTCATGAGAAAGAAAAGCATGAATTAGTTTTTTAGCATTGACCGATTGGTCGCTACATAAATTTTTTCCTTCTGTTCATTCTTGAATAGAAAATATTTGACCTTGTGACCGTATTCAAATGGAATACGCTCACGTGTTCAAATATTATACATCAATAATCACCATTTGATGATTGGTAAGTAAGAAACGTTATTTAATCTGGCCGTTTGCGACCGAATTATTTATCACAATAATGTTAGGTTTTCTTCATCTACAAAAAAAAGAAGACAATACAGAGTATGGCGTGATATTTTCTTGTCAATGTCGTACGATACACTCGTACCCTTTTTCTTTCGCTTTTTTTCCCGTTCTATATCGTCTTGTTTGATGAATATATTTACTCATCGTGCTTTGCCTCTCATCCAATGTGCCAGAGTGAAAGATTTTTCTATGATACAACAAGAATACAAACTAAGGATGAGACGGACCAACAGGCGACATGTGTGTAAAACCTACGTATGCTGTTTTTCGTAATTGATGTGCATTTGAAATTAGTTGCTGAGATATCATCTGTCACTACGCAAACACTATTATCTTTTTTCCTCTGAAAATATTTCATTTGAGAATAGATATTATAGTAAAAAAGTATCTGATCAATAAACTAATTTACGTCAAAACAATTTACGCGAAAATAAGCTACTACGCCTCTAAATGTGTTTAAGTTAAATAAAGAATTTCATTTTCTTTCTTTTTTGTCTCGTAAAGTTCGTTATGGGTCATATTTAAGTGTCTATGTGAAGGTTTAACACTTGTGCTCTTATCTTTTGCGATATGTTTGCAACTACGTTTCAAAACATAGAATAGAAGATAGTGTTTGATCTCTCATTTTCATTATATTCCTCCTACACATTCCACCACGTGTATATGAGTTTAAAAGAAAAGAGACAAAAATGAGTGAAATACAGATGGTAAGCAATAAAAGAATGTTAATATTTCATTTTTTTTCTTCTTCATTATTAAATAGATTAAAAACAACGAATCTAATATACCCATGTCTAATATTAGTAAAAATACCAATCGATTTCAAATGCCATACAATTCAATTCAAAGAAAGCTCGATCGATTTTGGGATAATTATTCAAAATTTTTAATACGTTATTCGTTCATAACACTTATATTAAGTTCATTGATAACGATTGGACTTACGGTTTATTTTTTTAATTTTGTGCAAATACGTCATTTTGATGAAACAGCATTTTTCATGCAAAATGGCCGAACTTCAAGAAATGTTGAACGTATTAAAAACATATTCGGCAATGATAAAAATTTCCGAGCACATCAACAAATGAATCTTTACCCAGCTTTAGATGTTATTATCAAAAGAAAATCACAATCAAATCGAGGAAATATGAATGAAACAAATATGTTAAATCAACAAATTATTGATGAGGTATGAAAAATTATATTTCAGATATCTATTATTTAGCTGAACAGAACTTGATAGTAACGAATTTCATATATTTTTAATTTCAAACAATTAGTTAAAAAACCAAGAAGCATTGCTCATAGTATACATTATCTAAGAAGGTTTCCAAAAACAAAAATTGGAAACTATTTTCAGTTTGTAGAGAATTTCTTTGATGATACCTTTTTTAATCATGAAATATTGAAGAGCATAAAATTGTCAGCAGGCAGAAGGGTCGTCACGTTTTCTACGTCCTTTCCTTACAAGGTTATACTGTACATATCACAAAAATTGTAAAAGAACCGAAATGAAACAAAAGAAAGAAACTTGTCAAGCTTTATGACTCTTTTTCAAGGAAAATCGTATGAAATACGTCAGCTTGAAAATTTATTCACAACTCGATGCTCATTAAAATCACATAACTAAAAACTAGTTGCAACTATGTTCTTTGCGACTTAAAAACTAGTGTTTCATTGCTGAGAAAATCGGTCTTCACGGTTCAAGGATAAGAAGTATTTTTTTAAAATAGAACGCATCACGTAGAAAACTCAAGTGATTATTGAAAATTAATCCTTGATTTTAAGCTAAATATTTCATATTAAAAAAAAATGATCAGTGTTAAACCGATTCCCAACACGCTAGTTTTGAATTTTGGCAGCGGTTATAAATATTTTAGCATAGTGAAAAAACCTCTGAATGAAACGAAGCGTACATAATGTATCATAACTAATGAGGTAACATGTCTATATCACGTTCTTATCTTCTGAAGTTATTTATATCATAGAAAATCTCACGTGTTTCAAAATTAACACTGATTATTAAAATTGATTTTGAACGAAAAGACTTTTTCTGTTTTGTTTCATAGATCGGACGTCGCATTTCTAAGCTTGACTTTCGAGTTGAGAATATTTTCCTTTATAGTAATATTAAGATGAATTTCAAAATAATGAAATCTTTCCTTTTAGTTAAGATTCAGCTGAAATGTTTTTTTTTCTCGATACGATAGAAATAGAAAAAAGATATTGCTCTAAAGGACATTCTCTGATTGTTGAATTACAGTGCGACGTATGTTTCATATGATCAATTTATAGTTTTATTTCTTTTTCATCTATTTCAACCTAACTGTTAAATGAACGTATCGGTTTCCCTTTTCAACAGTATGAAATTCGATTGGAGTGTGAAGTAAACAGTTTGACAAAGTTTAACATTCTTCATATTTTGATGTGTAAATGAGTGTTAATCGTGACTGATAAATGATTGGAAACTTGCACTGAAACACTTGTGTGATGCAATATAAAGTATGCGGAACAGAGAAATATTAACAAAAGCTCGACAGAACCACTCTCAAATGATACGAGTCTAAGAGTAACAATGATATGCTTCAAGACACTCATAGTCAGAGCGTCCATGTTTGAATCGATCTAGTATGATAACCATTCGTTACTGATTTTGCTCCTTCTCACTTTTGAAATCTATCGTAAGAGCTGCTAACGAACATAAAATAAAGTCTAGCAATGACTTTGTCTTGCGAAATCATTTTGTAATTAATTTAGAACAATGCTGCAAGGGTAAAAAAATATTGCAATTGATAAAAACAAGTTTCTTTGACAATGACTGTTTCAAATATATTAAGTTGTTTTGCTACTTCTGTAAATTGTTGGTGTGCACCTATCTTAATACATTTTTCATCGAGTCTTTTTCAATAGCCACTTTCTTACCTATACAAATGGTTCTCCGCTGTAATAACAGTTCGATGAGAATATTTATTATAAAAACGAATTGAGACCTTTCGATTATCACTAGTATTGCCAGTGTTCTAAACAACATGATGGTCGTGCAGAATATTTTACTCTGATAGGTGGCGTCGTCATCATTATTTAACGCTCAAGGACGAAGAATGAATCATTTTCAGACAATTATTTGCCCACACCTTAGATTTTATCTCATATGATTTGTTATGAGTAATTGACAAAATATTATGATGTGAAAAATATAACTAATAAGCACAAAACATTTTCTATTTATGATTTTGTTTTCAGATTCAGTGCATACATATCTCTCTCTAATGGGCATGTAAATCACATGCCAGAAGTGATGCATAGGCATATGCATATATGTTATGATCTTTGGAAATATTTTCATGTTTTAGTTAGAAGATTAAACATCAGGCGAAAAAAAGAGATGCTTACATCATTACTTCTCCATCTAATGCAAACACTTTTGGGAAAGTATTAGAATGTCCACAAGCTATAGCACTTACTATTTGTGCAAATTAACATGAAGAAATCAGACAAAAAAGAATTGATTGCTGAAAAAGAATAAACTGTGAAAATAATTCAACCCAATTATTTTAATGAAATTCCTGGAAAACTTACATTCCCAAAACAAGAATTTCTTGATTTCTACTCAACAATGTTTTTCGTTGCGTAGTGCTCAGCCTATGGCATTTTCAATAGAACGGTGGAAAACATTCTTTTAACCATTCGCAAGTCGAATACTGTTATTTCAGAAGATCTTAGCGATTTAGTCGTAGCGAAAAATATTCTCTCTTTCAAATAGAGCTAACCACAAGGGGGGGGGGAAGCTGATTCAGTGATTCCGAGTGATTCCATTGATTCTGTGTGATTCCAGTACTATAGAATCAATTGTTTTCTCTTTGATTTTTTATGACTAAACAAAAACCAATATTAGATTCGTGTTCAGAATGAAAAACTAATTGTAATCAAGATGAAAACAGCTGAATCCAGAGCATTGGAATCAACAGAATCATCCGGAATCAATGAAATCACTAGAATCATTTGGAATCGATGGGATCACTAGAATCATCCCGGAATCACTAGAACTCACTGAAGAATCTCAGTGATTCTGTTGATTCTACCTGATTCCAATGATTCTATCACCACAGAATCAGCTTTTCACCCTTCGCTACTCACCGAAATTTTAAACCAGAAAGCAGAAAACAGCTTTCTTTAAAAGAATTTCTCGACTCAATTAATTTTGTTGAAGTTCTTGGATTTGTTAATGTTTATACAAAATCTTTTCAATTCATTGAATATTTTTTCTAACGCTGGTTATCAAATAGTATTCAGAAAAAATATTGCGGATACTGCTACATGAAATTTCTGTTCACTATTCTAATTTTATCAGCGCTCTTTTAAAGGTCACCTTCAAGTTTATAATTACGTATCGATATTGATAATAATTATGAAGATGACAATAGCATCACTAGTTCATGACACTATGATGTAAAATAGAAATCTATCGATGTCAGATTTCGTCGTCGGGCGAGTATTTTGAGAAAATATCGATCTTACTTAAAACGTTTTTTTAAATAGTTCTTAAAATCGTAAAATTCAACTTGGAATTTGATTTTTTGGTTCTAAAGAGTTTTAATTTTATTATGCAGTATAATCAACCAAGAATGCTGAATTCTTTTACGCTGTTCCCCTCTTTCAATACTGAAATGACATAGTAAAAAATCTAAACGAGATCATGTCTCATACACGTAATTCTATACTCAATATTTATGCCTATTGATGTTGCTTCTTTTGAAATATGTATGAACTTGATTGTGCATATTTTATTATTATTATTATTATTTTAAACGAGGACAGAAGAAAAGCTCTTGTCAACTAGTATAATCAAACGAAATGTTTAAATGATTTATTATTATCTAGATATCGATAATAAGACATGTGATTTAAGAATTTTTTGCATACTATTTCTATTCATAATATTTTCTAAAACTATACTTGTGTTTAGGTTCGTTTGTTAGACCAGAAAATTCGATCTATTCGAATCACTATTAGCAATACTCCATTCCAATATAATTATTCATCATTATGCGCCATAATGAACCATGCATGTATTGTTGACGGAAATTATTTATTATCGGATCGATTTCGCCAAGATTTTGCATACATAAAATATGAATCAAGTGAAATCTATTTTGATACAGCAGCAGGTGCTAACGGTATTGCGCCATTTATATTCAGCAGAAATTATCGAACTATCAATGCAACATCACCTGACTCAGATTATGTTGACGAAAGTGAAGGAATCAATGACGAAGCAACAACGGAAGCACCTTTAACAGAGATTATATCTTACGTTCCACTATTTCGTCTTCGATACGCATTAAATGTAACAACGAATGAAACACGTCATTTATCAGCAGCATGGGAAAATGCAGCAATAAATTATCTTAACGAAAAATTTCAGTCGAACTTAATTTCTCTCGCAGTATCGAGTTCAACAGCTATCAGTGATACTGTTAGTAAACAAGCAAGCGACGAAGGACCATTTATAGCAATAATGCTTTTAATATTCGTTATTTTCGTTTGCTTTTTTATCAGTGTTCAAGGTACTTTTCATACATCTGTTGGATATTTATCAGCTTGTGGAATTATTAGTTTGATTCTTTCCTCTGGTGCTACATTTGGTTTATTATCACTTCTTAGAGTTCAAATTATGGAACCAATGGCTCTTATTGTTTTTGTTATTGCTAGTAAGTTTTACTAATATTAAACAGTCTCATCAATATGTGTTTCTTCTAATCTCCTCCTATACAAAATAAGACAATGTAAATATTAAGAATATGATAGAAACAATGTACACAACATTTCGTATGCAGTTTTGTTCTTCATAAGCATAAAGAATTATTTGTTATCCTAATTCATTCTCCCCGGACGACTCACCGGGGAGTCCCTGTCGTGAGTCCCCGTGGACTTTTTATTTTGGGGACTTCCCGGGGATTTCTCTGGGGAGAATTGATGAAAGTTTTTAAAATTAAAAAGAATTTATGAGTAATTAGATATTTCATCGATTTTGGCCAGATAACTCCCCGGGGAATCCCCAGGGAGTCTCCGCAAAAGAACGGAATCCCTAGGGACTCCCTGGGGATTCTTCTAGGGAGAGTTGACTAGGGTTACAAACTGGTGCGCAATTGTTCGAGGGTAGATCAGTAAACGTTGTGGTCCTTTTAAGTTTCAACCTAACATATTCATGTCAACATTTTTCTAAACTTGTTGTTTCACTTTTTTTATGGTTTCATTCCAATTTAACAAGAAAAACATATATAATATCAAAGCTATCGTGTTTGAGTTTCATTATCAAAACTCATTCGCTACATAATCAAATATCCAGAGCGTCTATATTATCCTATAATCAATAAAACTAAATTTAATTCATTGTTGTTAACACAGTATTCTTTCTAACACGTTGTAGTAATGAATATTTGAAAAAAATCATTCTATTTCAACAATGAAACTCAGCATCTCTCTCGTTCATGGAGAATATCAACAACAGTATCTAAGAGTTTTCCTGTAGAAGTCGTGCAATAGAACTTTCCCAAAAGAAACAAAAACTCCTATATTCTTATTCGTTTATTGATATAAAACAATTTCAATTGAACACTCTGTAAATATTTTAGTTATTGAATGTATGCGTGTTTCAATTGTTTGTGGTGATTATCATCGAATAATACAACAACATATTCCACAATCTTCAACGAATGTTTCAACGAAAATTGACATTGAAAAAATTCTTTCATCAATATTAAAATCTAGTCGTCCATATTTTTTATCTTCAACATTAATTCAGATGATTGCTTTTACAATTTTGTCAATAATATCTCCAATGCCATGCCCAAAATATCTTAGTATTACATTAGTCGTATATGTATTTATAAATTATTTAACACATTGTACATTTTTTTCGTCATGTCTTATTATAACATTAAAACGTATTAAATCTCGCCGCCATTCTTTATCATGTCTTCATTTACCAAGTGATTATTATATAAAAGATCGTAAAAAATCAATAAAAAATACATTCTTCCAGCGACCAATGAAACTTTTTGAAAAGGTTGATCCAAAATTTAAAAAGATTTTTACGGGCTTTATATGTTTATTCTCAATAATATGTGTCATATGTAGTTTATGGTTGATACTATCGATTGATACACGTTTATTTGATGATAGATTTCTTCCAAGAAATTCATCTTCATTACGGTCATATATGAAATCACAAACCGACGATTATGATATTGGTCCTATGATTATGTTTGTTATTCCTCAAACAGTTGATTATACGAATGCAACCAACCGATTATTAATTCATCGTATGATAGAAAAATGTCAAAATGAAACAACAACTAATAAGTTCAAATTAGTATGGATAGACCACGAAGATGTAACAGATCTTTTAACCAGTAAAGATTCAATTGATATTCGAATAACGCCATATTCGCAAAATGATATCATTTTCTCCGAAGAAAAAAACAAAACCGTTATAAAAGCGTCAAGATTCTATTGCCAATATAAATCCATTAAAGGTAAAAAATTTACGTCAGATTTAGAATCCATAATTCTAATCAGTGTCAAGAATAAGGTTAAAACTTCTTCATTACTACTCACTTTCAGTAAGATGTAAAATTGATAATCTCTTTATTTACATCGAGAAGTGATTCAAAATGAGCTGGTAAATAAAATACATGACTAATTGAAGATTCTTCAAAATCTTAACAAATATAGAAGAAAATAAAAAATCTCAGGTTTCTATCTTTATTTATCATCTAGTTTTATCAATAATCATCGGTCTGTTAGCTGAGTAGAGAAAATTCTAATGTATTGTTTTCAGCTTAAATCATGTGTAAATCGACAATCACCTATGTTGAGAATAGTTTCTCGGATAGGATTTATAGCAATCGATAAAATGTTATAATATAATTCGAATATTTGTACAATATGAACAAGAAAAAATTAAGAAGAAACAAAACGGTCCTATTAAATCAATATCTCTTGTCTAATTTTTAGGCGATCGTGAAGATTTACGAACAATGAACAATTTGTATACGTATACGCAACAAAGTCCTATACCATTCATATTTCCTTTCAGTCTTATATTTCAACATTATGAAGCATTGGGACAAATACGTTTGGAGATGTATTTATTAATACTTATCATGGTTACAATTACTTTCGTTGTCATTTTTCTTATATTTGCCTCGTTAAAAAGAGCTCTTCTAATCATTTTACATTTACTTGTTCTTCTATCTGGAAGTTTAGCATGCCTATATCTATTTCATAATTTATCATTTAATTTTGCCAATGCACCATGGTTATATATCATACCTATTGTATTTCTTGATACTATTATTCATGCAACTTTTAATATGAAAAAATCCAAATGGAAATATAATCGTATTATGTTTTCATTAATAATAGCATTGATTATATTTTCATTTTTTCCTATTGAGACATATATATTTCATATAATATGTTATTCATTACTTTATCAATCAATTATTTGTTTTACATCGATTAATATAGTGCTTCCATCATGGTTTTATATTATTAAAAGAATTTTAAGGAAAAATAAGAAAGCTAAAAAATTATCAAAAATACTTATCGATACGAATCAATCATCAGCTATAACTACAGAAATACAGAATCTCGTTAATGAGCCTAATGGAAATATGAATAACACTATTTAAAACAAACTTTTTCTGTGATGTGTATGTTCTTTTATTGTTTCTTTTTCTTTGCATTTTTCTTCCAATTTAGCTCAGTGTCATTATTTGCGTCCATACGTTTATCGGTTTTTTTCTCGTTGTCTCTTTTTATGTGAAATTAAAAATCCCACACGCATGTATTCATTTTATGTATTTCGTTTATATAAATAGTTTTCAAGCTTTTTTGTTGTTGTTTTTTTTGTGTTTAGAAATAAACTACGTGGAATTAAAAAGTATTAGACAAAATAAAATAAGATTTCTGAAAATGACTAAAATAAATAATTATGATTGAAGAATGTGTAGTAAAAGAGAGGTTTATTGAGATAGCTTTTTCTGTCTCATACAGAAGCCACGAACAGGTTCGATTAGGGATGTAACAATACCATTTGGAGACACATAAATATTGCCAATTTTCATAATGAAAATCTACCAATACCAACCAGCGCTGAGTACATGACAGGACTGCCCTGCTGTCCTGTCCTGCCGCCTGCCAGGACGGATCAGGGTATCAGGACAGGGCAGGGCAGGACAGAAAAACATGTCCTATGCTCAGCTCTGATACCAACCAATATTTTGCGTTAGCTATAACCAGCGAAGTTAGCTCTATCTGATAGAAGTATATAAAATACTAATACCAACAGAAACGATCCCCAGTATTGGTGAGTATTGGTAAAAAAACGTAATTTTCACGAATACTCACAAATACTGGGGATCTTTTCTGTTGGTATTAGTATTTTATATACTCTTATCAGATAGAGCTAACTTCACTGGTTATAACTAAAGCAAAATATTGGTTGGTATTAGTAGATTTTCCTTGTGAAAATTGGCAATCTTTATGTGTTTCCAAATGGTATTGTTACATCCCTAGGTACGATGTTAACAACTTCACTAATAGAAATTTATTTACAATTGACCAGTAGAGCTAGGAAGTTGTTGTTTTGATCAGCTATTCGAAACACTCATTTACAGATTCTTTATCATGCAACTCTAGAACAGCTTGCACTTTTATATGAATACATTGATGAATAGTGTTTATGTCAAAACAAGCAACAATAGAGAAGGATATTAGTAGATGTAATAATCGATAGAAAACGTCTGGTATTTGATGATATCAATAAAGCATTAATTCAGATTTTCTGCTCTGATGAAAGTGTTTATGCTAAAGTACATGAAGTATAAAAATAAAAAAACAACTAGATCTAGTTCGAACGATAAGCAACGAGAAAACATACAAATGTTTTTAGGGATTAAATAGAACTTTTTTTTGTTTGATAATTTGCATGAACTACGATAGGATATCTTTTGTACTAAACACTAAGACGAAAAAATTCTCATGACACACGCTGCAAAAGAATTATTGTTGGTAAATCGATGGCTTTTAGTCGATCCCAAACGTATGGACGACATACTCTTCATTTTGCAGTACATTGTCCTCACTTCTCTCAGTCTAATCATTGAATATCTTCAATACCAAACAATGCAATATTTATTTTACTGCTTTCTCTTCTATAAACTGAGGTGTACCTAGGAGACATTGCACGTAAGCCACGACAAGTTACAGCAAAAGGTTGCTCAATCGGTTTCACCAATTTGGCTCATATTTTTATAGTAGGTAGCGCTATCAAAGTTAGGAATAAACTGAAAATTTTAGCTCGAACAGGTGATCCATTCTGGAGATATATGCACTCGAAGTAAGACGGGGTCGGAGTTTTTGTACTTCGACAGTTTTCAATAAATTTTCCTTTTTTCCAAGAATGATAAGAGGTGCAACTAAAAATTTTTCGCCAATAATAGTATAATCAATGGTCTATCATTTGATGGTATTGAAAGTATCTTATGTTTGAAAAAAACTCTCCATGCGATCGATCAGGCTCAGAAAATAGTGCCCCAGTGTATAGAGTTAATTGGTATGATTAGTGAGATAGATGAATTTCAATATAGTGCCATATGAAAGAGCACATCAAACTGCATCGAGTGACGTGTTCAAAACTTTGTTATTTTGATTTTCAGTAGCGAAATATTTTCTACCAAGATTATGATATTTTCGGGAAAAATTCACTTGAAAAAACCACTTGTACTCGTTCTTTTTTTCATATATTATTTTTATGTATCCAAATATTCTGACATATTCAGATAGCGCGTGAAATTCTCTACTATTCTATACAAAAATCTCTTGCATAACACGTGTTGGGTGACAAAAAAAATAAAGCACAATAACGTCACCATAGTCCTCACATTTCTCTAAAACCAACTTTTGTTCTCTTTTTTTTACTTTCTAGTTAGGTAAATACAACAGCAGCTATGCATTCTGGTAGCGCTTGAAATTCTGCATCTTTTGATGTGCCACTGAAAAGTCACCAAGATGCAGACGAGTATTTAGTACAGAGCATAATAGTCGCCCTCAGTGAAAATCATCTAAGTAAGTCTCGGTATTCAGGCGATTACATTATTATAGCTTACTTTGATAGAAAAAAGCAAATAGCACATTTAGAATCATTATGAAAAACTGAATCTAACTTGATACTTTTTGGAGAACAATATTTTTCATCAAAATTCCAGCCTACTCCCCCCTTAGCCATTTTTTTCTAGATTTTATCCTGTGGTGAACCACAGGTAAAATTTTAATAAAAATTATTTTTTGATAAAATTTGCGGTAGTCAATGTAGTTTCTCATGCTGATTCTAAATGTGCTATTCATTTTTCTATCAAAGTAAGCTATAATAATGTAATCGCCTGAATACCGAGACTTACTTAGATGATTTTCACTGAGGGCGACTGTAACTTGTCGTGGCTTACGTGCAATGCCTCTTAGTGACTTTTTCGATAGGCCAAAGTCGACATGGGGAGCGATTTTCATCGAAGGAAAGTGTGGTTGGATTCGTGATGAAAGATACTTATAATCCTGTTTTACGAGGAAAAAGTATGTTCAACCGATCTTGAATGATATTCAGAACGATTATCTACGAGTTATGCAACATTTCGATGGATGCAATATGATGTGTGGAGCAATTTTTGTTAATTTGTATGCAACAATATTGCTCATTTAACAGATTCCTAATATTACTAAGTGATGAAATAGTAAGTGGTGATCGTCCAAAATGATATTCAGATGCATTATCTGTGAATTATTAATTATTTCGAGAGGTGAAAAATGATGTGTGGAGCGATTTTTTTCAAGAATTAAAATACTACAAGATGACCTGGTAAACGAGTTTAGAATTTTGTTTAGAGAATAAAAATTATGGTAGGATGTTTCTGGATTATTATAAGCGTGTGTATTGGTGAGCCAGATGTTGTTCGGTTCGGGTTACAATGTTTTTCAGGGTAGTTTCTATTAGCAGAAATGCTTGTTGTGCGATCTGTTTGAGGTGATGTTAGGGACTATGTGTGATTATTCATGAGGCGTAGTTGTGTCGGTTGGTGTGCGATTTTGGAAGACTGTAGTTGATTCATCTTGTGATTGAAGAATGCTTGTATGAGAGATTTTTTACGAGGTCCTTGTCATCGGGATCTGATGGAATCCGGTCAAAGATATGGTGAAGCCCTTGCCAACCCGGAATCATTTGGTAGTTAGGGTCGATCGGCTTCGACAATGCTCGGTTGTATTATCCGGCAGGAAACGACCGGACCACTTTCCTTTGAATTCCGGCCTGGATTCCTGGAGCTGAGATTCCGACGAAATCCCTGTCGGATCCTGGCTGATTTTAGTGGGAAACATATGTCGGCTTCTGGAGTGATCCGGTGCCGGTTCCGATGGGTCCCAGTAGAATCCAGAGACAGAATCGAGTGACTTGGGTCGTTACAATTTTATTTTATTTTCTCTTACATACGGCGTAATTTCAATTGCACTACTTTGAATTTATATGTTCTAGATTTTTTTTCATAAAGCCATGTATACAGAAAATTCTTTTGCTAAACAGTACTGAAACCGACGAGCAAATACAGAAAATGTTATGACAATCTTGTATTATTTCCATCAGACAATTCCATTGCAGTTGTCAAAGCAAAACAATGTTCTCCAGCTGAAAATGATGGTTTTATTTTAGTTCAAAGTGGTAAGAAGAAGTTCATAGGAGTCGTCCTTGAAGAAGGTAAAAAAGAATTAAGAATGGTATATTTTTTTTAATATGCTGATCGAAATTATATAAAAGACTACTGTTGCATGAATCTTAACCTATTTATTTATCATTGGTCATATTGCTTGATTATTGTTATACTGTTCTTATGTTTATATTGGAGCAGCTTTGAAATTTAGAAGAAACCGTTGAATTATTAACAGTAGTCTGTCAAAACAGTATTTTTTTCTTCCATGAATTAAGCTGACAGGCAAATAATATGTTTTGATTTACAAGTATCAATTTACGTTCTTTTTATCTCTATAGGAACTGCTCTGCAAATCAGTGAAGCTGCCGATCGATTAACTAAAAAGACTGTTCATCCAGAAATCGAAAGTGATTATGAAAGAAACGTTAATAAAATTCAATTCCAACAAAATAATAGTAGGAAACATTATTATTATTATTATTATTATTATTATTATTATTATTTTACACTTAATTTTGTTCTAATCATTTATCATAGCAATCACATCAGTGATATCTACGTAAAAAGTTGTTCCATTTACAGGTAACTTTATTGAAGTACAACGGTGCTTTTGCATTATTAAATTCATATTTTATAGAACAAAATTCTAATATTCAACGACGTCCCAGGTCGTAGAGGTACCATGGGAACCAGCCGGAAAGCCTTGGAAAGCGCTGGAAAGTGGAACCAGTATTCCGATCGGAAATTGACGGATTTTTCCTATGGATTCCGGACATTCAGATATACCAGACATGTTTTATTTATACTTAAATAAATGTCTTCCTTGCTCATCAGCAACTACTTATAGTTCTCCTCAATCATTAAACAACAATATATGCAAGTTATTCTTTATTGATTTTTTTTCTAGAATAAAATGTTTTTATTCAGTTATAAAAAATATCGATAATCTTCCAGTTGGATTGACGCACTGAAAAAAAAGGTGCCAAACGAAACCTTTGAGGTTCCGTCGAGTTTTACTAAACTATATAAGCTTCCGTAGAATATTACGAAACCTGTTTGAAGTTTAGCAACATCCAAGGTTTTGTAAAAAACTTTTGAAAGTTTTAAAATTTCGAAAGGTTTTGTCCTGAACCCGTTGGTATTTGCGAAACCCAAGAGATTTCTGAATAAACCCTTTCGAGTTTCGTATTCAAAACTCATCAGTTATTTTTTCTTTATCTAGATCCACCATCATGTTCGAAAATGAAAATGGTGAGTTCGATTTTCACGTTCAATACTCATTAACAACTTCCTTTTTACTCAGATCCATCATCATTTTTGAATATAAAAATGGTGAGTTTGACTTTTAATATTGAAAACTCATTAACGATTTCCTTTTCGCATAGACCCATGACCATTTTCGAATATGAAAATGGTGAGTTCGATTTCCATATTCATAAATAATTAGTAATGTTTGTTTTACTTAGATCCATGATCATATTCGAAAATGAAAATAGTGAGTTCGATTGTAAAAGTTGAAAGCGGATGAGTTAGTTTATTTCTATTTAGATCAAACAACTGTAGCAGATGGCTCTCCGCGCCTGAGCGTAGAGGATATGGCAGAAAAGTGCCTGATAATCGCCTCGCTTTTTCGGAAAATGCATTGTGTCGCATGGTTTGGAGCAGGTTCCTGGCCAATATGTTCCTGAGGTTTTTGAGTGAGTTCTAACCAAGTTGGTGGGTCATTGAGAAAGATGTGCCGGAAATAATGCATAGAATTCGGGAAAGTTTTTAGTCGGAATTCTTTTTTGATGCCTCATCGGGGCTGTATGTTTTTTTGTAGAGAGGGAGTGCGTTTTTGCATAATATAGTGATGGAAAACTGCAATCTATGATGGAGCATAGCATTGGACGAGAGCTTAGTTTAATGTTCGATGATGAATTATACGGAACCCTTTGTGCGAAACCCTAGTTATGAGCTGTTGAAGATGAAGGCTTTTTACGAAACCTAATTTGTAATAAACCTAAAAAGGATTTCGATTTGGTTGCAAAAATCGGAATCCTTTAGGGTTTCGTATGGTACCTTTTTTTTCTGTGCGGCAACAACATTAATGAATGACGATTGTTCATTAGTATCTCATAGTACACCGGAATCAAAAAGAATAATCACAAACTTACGTCCAATTTTAAACATAAACGACGTAAACAATCTCCAAGTGAAACAGCATCAATTGAATTACTTGGTCAATTTGATAACACAGACGGTGAATCAAATGATAGCGAAGACGAACAACCTGGCAATAATGAACGTTATGTTCATCCAAATCAATCAACAACACATCAAACACCTACATTTGTTGGTCGTCCTGTCCTAGAAAAAATTTAAAAATCTAAAAATAAATCAGCTAAAGTGTAGTCTTCGCCTAAACAACAATGATTGTCCTTTACTAGTAAACTTGAATCTCAATATTTGAAGCCAATTCTTATTGCATTAGATAGGATCGAAACAATGACAAAAAATTTATTTACCAATCAAAAGTAGATTGAAAATGTTTTACGTAAACAAAAAGTGACTGATTATTCATTTCATGATTTTTAACTTGTTAATTATAGATGAATATTTCACTGAACAGCCTAGATGACAACGATGAATAAACTCACACTAAAACATTTCTATCCTCTATGGTATGATATACTTGCTATAATATATACAATGAAAATTTTCACTTTCAATTTTTTATTTATTTAGGAATATGAATTACCTGGTGTTGTTGTTGTTGATTTGCTGCAAAAATCTGGCGTTAAAGAACATGCCAATCATTATGTAACATATTTTGTGGACATACTTTTTAAGCCCGCTGAGCTTTTAGCTATGGAAACCAAAGATATACCGAAACATGAACGATATATTTTACTTAAAGGTTTATATATGTTTACTTGTAATTTTATATTGGCATTCAATAATTTCAGAAGCAGTACGAAACAAATTTCATTTAACACACGACGAACTTGAAACTATGTGGATTTGACTTCATACTGTCATATTGTCTAAACGCCGAACAATTAGTGCAAAACCCAGGTCGTGGACGTACGGCGGGAAACGGCGGGAAAGCACAGGAAAGCGCTGGAAACTGGAAGCAGTATTCCAGTTACCAGAGANAAACGGCGGGAAAGCACAGGAAAGCGCTGGAAACTGGAAGCAGTATTCCAGTTGGAAGTTACCGGATTTTTTTCCTGTAGATTCCGATCAACTTCCAGATGTAAAACACAGAAAACTGACCGGAAAACACAGGAAACTGACCGGAATCCACTGGGAAAAAAATCCGGTAACTTCCAACTGGAATACTGCTTCCAGTTTCCAGTGCTTTCCGGCCAGATACGGTGATTTTTCCGCATCTTTCCGGCCGATTCCTACAGTATCCGTCCTCCGGAATCATTGACCTGGGAAAGAAAAAAAACATGAATCAACAAATCAATAATTAATTTCTTATTTATATTTCGTTATTAAATTTCTCCAGCTGCCTACGTAGAACAATTCAGCTTACATGCTCATTTACTTTTACTTGAGATTCATGTTACTCTTTCTTTTTTTTTGTTTCTAAACTCTCTAATGAACATGTACCAGAATTAACTTTTGCTTTTATTCATCTACATTTTACCATATAAACTTGTACCCATTTCTTATAGTTGTTTCCTCCCTAGTGAAAGTACTCGTTCAGCGAGTACGACTTTGCAGCACGAGTACTGAGATTACTCGACTGAGTACTCGATGAATTTTATGTGTAACAATACTTTTCGTGTACTATGACGAAGTACTTCAATGAGTTTTCTCGCTAAGAATAACTCGTATACGAAAATACGAGCACTCGAGGTAGTACTATCATCGTTTTTCCGAACGCATCCAGCAAAACACCTATGTAATACGATGCATGAAAATAAAATAATATTGCGTAATTAATAACAACTGTATAATGAACCGAAAATTTGGAAAAACTCTTTAAACAAATTATCGATTTCATTCTCCATATTTTGTGATTAGTCATTCATGCGCCGTAGTCAATTGGCTATTTAAAGAATAGAAAAACAAATCCATTTCATTTCAGCTATTCACTTCTCGAGTAAGACCGAATATTTATTTGAAATTACAAAATTATTTATTAAATTTTAAAGCTTAAATCAAAGATGAAATATCGTTTTAGATAAAAATTATTTTTTTCAGGAAAATTAATGAAACAAGGAGTATGAGAAATTTTTTCACAAAGCTATAAAATTCAATATTCTGAAGATGCATCAATCATACAGAAGACAGTTCATCGATTTTTTATTTGCTACTTAATGATAATAGTTTCCGATTTAGAATGCTCATGTTTTTTTTGTAACGATATAAAGTGAATGTGTACTGTTATCGTGTATCTTAATTCGATCCATAATTTATTTCCCGTTTGTGTTTACATATGTTGTAATGTTTTCAATCGAGATTTTTATTTAGTTTTTTTGCGTTCTTTTGATAAATGTTTTATTTGTATGTCCTAATTAAAAAGCATTTTAAGGTAATAAAACAATTCATTTCTGGAATTCTTATCACGCAGGTTACTGTTCTATCATCAGCTTTTAAATAAAATAAATTGAACGCATTAGAAAGATACAGAACAAAAGATAGATATCTGAGTATTTTACAAAAACCCACTAGCATACTCAGGAAATGTATGATGAGTACTCAAACCCACGAGTTTACAGAACGAGTATTCGATAGTCGCACTCAGACACTCAAATCTTAGCACGAGTACTACTGATGAGTACTCAAACCCGCGAGTACTTTTTGAGTATTCTCTAGGCGAGTACATTCACTAGGCATTCTTCTTAGAAAATAATATTCTTAGCAATTTTTTGTATAATGTATATACATTGAAACATTTAATAAACTAAGAAGAACAAACGAGACCATTCTTGTTAGCTATATTGTTTTCGATAATTGCTCATTAATATTAGTCAATGATTCAGAGTATTACGATGCAGTTGTGCCATATCTGCGATCATACTGTGACCTATATTTACAAAAAACTGCGACGTATCCCAGGTCGAACATTACGGCCCGTATACGGCCATTGACGGTTACTTTACGACTGTTTTACGGGCGAAATTTTGCCGTAATATCTGGCGCAGTAATACGGACCGTATTATCATGAGAGTACGGAGCACAAACAGCCATAAACCATGCAAATTCAGTCCCGTTTACGGTGCCGTATTACTGCGCCAGGTATTACGGGCAAATACGGCCTATTTACTGCCGTAAAGATACCGTTTTGACATCGTTTACCGTCGACAAACAGATCGTAAACGAGTCCGTTTTAATCAACCTGGGTATTTACGCATGGTTGTGAATTTTTGACCGTAACTACGATTTTTTCATCGCAATTGTGCCGATATTGATGGCACGCTTGGATGATTCTCCTTCTTCCTCCTTCTGTTCTCTTTCCATTGTTATAATATATCTCTTTCCTGTCTCTCTTCTATCTCTCTCCTATATATACGTGTGTTATGTATAAAGTTGTTACACACTGGATATGTGAAAAACTGAATCAACATCATTGTCGAGAGTGGCAGTAAGCTACTCCACCTCTATCCAGTTTGTCATTAACATATCTACCCAAATAGGGTCCCATATTTATCGTTACAGCAGTTACGCATAACTACGTCGCATTTTTTCGCAATTAAGGATCACAGTGCGATTGCAGTTTGATCGTAATGGAACATATGAGTGGATAAGTAACTTTGGATCTGAAAAATTCCATTCTAAACGCCCATACCCTCAAGATAGTGCTTGCATAATCAATAGGAAAACAATCACTAGTATTTGATAGAATTGGAATCAAATAGATACAATATATTCTTATAGTGTCAAACTTTATGATGGTAACTTTTGATTAATAACGGTTATCAAATACACCAGAAACGATCGAAATATTCGTAGCGGTTCTATATTATTGGCCAATGGAAATCGTTTGATTTTTTTTTAAATTTTACTGTGTTATACTTTTATGAAATAGTGAAGTTTTATTATCGTATTCTGAAAGAGCGTATAAGAATCTATATAATCTTGTATACTAGAGAGAAAATACTTGATAAAAAATAAAATTTTTCATACAAACGAAAGCTGTTAGGTGGTTCTATAATTTTGGCCAGTATTGTAGATCTTAACGTGCTCATTAGGTGAATTTTGATGGTTCGATAGTATAGAGTCGATACATTATTATTCGATACAATGTGAAAAGTACGTTTTATTTTTGTTAAGCGTATGAAAATATGAACGAAACTCAAGCTGTGAAGGACGATCTTATGATTAAGTGATTTCGCAAGGAAATATCTGATCGAAGTAGTTGATAATTTTTAAGAAAAACTCTCGTTTTTTTCTATCATAGTTTCTATAGGACATAAATCTGTATTCTCTTCAATTTTTGCGAAACTCTTAGGTAATTATCTTCATTAGAAAAAAGAACCCTCACAATACTGAAGTATTATTTTTCTTCTATCAATATTATTATTCGTAGCAGATCCATTTATGAGTAGCTGTCTAATTCGAGTTCAAATATAAATGGAGAAAAGAAAAAGTTTAAGTAAAACTAAATCTAGGAATAGATTTAGTTTTAGTCTAACTTTCCGATATATGCGACATATGAATACATATATATTCCTCACCCGCACCCATATTTGAGCACTCCTCCTTGGTATCCATTACCCACACTCACATTTGAAGTACCCCAAGTATCCCCCGCATCCACTCCACCTGAAACTAAATATATTTCTATCACTTACGTATTTTCGATTGATACCATGCAGTTGGATGTCTATTTATATTCGAATTCGAACTAGGCATTTCATGCCATTTATATGAATTATGCTCTACTTTCTTTTCTCGTCACAAATGATCTCATTAATAAATACTAATTAGCTTACCTGAATAGAGTCTATCTATTAAAAAAAGTCTTAATACATCTTCTATGAAGTTAATCTATACATTGATCTACTAGAACAAGTGGCACACAAAGTACAATATATGCAAAAACAATGCATCAGGTTAGGCTGTCAAAGATAATTGATTATGGTAAACATATAAAAGAAATTGTATAAAAATAAGTTTGTGTGAGCATTACCAAGATTAAATTTGTCTAATATCGTGCTTTGTCACATGTAATTATAATAAGAGTTTGTAATTCCGTTTTGCATTACGTTAGTTTTCTAGTTTTGAGAAGCACTTGATACTGAGATTACTTTTTATATAAAAAGGAAAAAACCTTTTCTGAGTGCCATACTAACAATTAACGTTTCATTTCTATATTTAAAACATTGAAGAACATATATATATATATATAAAGACAAAGGTCCACAACATATATTCATTTACACATGCATCATACATAGACATTCAAGATTTCAATCATGCAAATCTATCACTATGCATTCTGGCTGTTAACTTTGAGCGTTGTTTTGGCTAAGTTAGTTTAAAGCTTATTGAAAATATTCTAGTTTGTTTTTTAAACTTATTTTAGTACGGGATCTCTGTCTCGATCGATAGACAATGAAAAATATGAAGAAGTATATGATCCAAATAATTCTTATGATCATATCGATGCACCATATAGTCTTACGGCATATTTAAATAATCCTCTGGCATTCGAAATAACTGACGGTACAGCGTATCATAGGCCACTATCATTCGAACGGCAAAGAAGATCAATAAGAAAAGGTGATTCAAGTGAATTCATGGGTTAAACATATGTTGTTTATTGTAAAACCGTTTTTAAACATATGAAAATAAATTATACTTGCTGATTTTAATAATAATGAAGTTTAATCTATATAAAACAAACAATTTATCAAAATCATATTTTAATAAAATTTACCTATTAGGAATAAAAAAACTAGTTCCTAAAAATACATGATAACTAAACATGAAATTTTCATCGAAATTATTTCGATTGTTTCTAATCCTATTTATGTTCAATACTGAAAATCAGTCTACTTTTACTACTGTTCGAGTTATCAAAGGTGGCATGCATTTAGTCTTGAGGACTATCTAGGTAGCATGTCTACATAAATCAACCATGCAAAAAGAAAGATAAAAATCTGTAAAAGTTTTTATCGGTTCATTATATGAAGCACAACTTTTTAAACATCACTCATACTCCTAAATCAAAATGAAGACATTCAAAACGCATAAAACTAAACTTTTATCAGAAAACGTTATTAATCCGTTCAAATTCGCATACATAAATATGGTACCGCAGATAAAAAGATGAACCGATTATTTTTACCAAAAAATTTGATATTTTACTTTTCTTTTACATAAACTTCAGCTTTTCGGAGTGTTCATTATCAATTTTATCAATGTTGAGAAACATATATTAGACGTTAATATAATCATTTTTAAACACACATGTGGTGTCGTACACTCGTGCTCTTAAAAACGATGTGCATAAACCTTTTTCTCATGCAACTGGATTATTTAAAGCGCAGCATAAGTTTTGAACTTATTAATTATTCGATGTTCAATGAATTATAGAAAAAAAAACTTCACAATATAAATGCGATTAATGCATTACTATTTACAGATGAACTAATAATCTAAATGTATCTCTGTTACACAGTTAACTTGAGAATACGATGAAATCGTATTAATAATAAACAAGGTCTTTTCTTTTTTTTTTGATTGTAATGGATCCGTGATATATTTTACCATGAAATTACACAACATTATCGAACTAATGTTTGTGAACATTAGAATAGAAATAGTCTTGTTAATAGCCATATTTGGGTCACATATGGTTATGAAAAGAAAAATGAGCATTCCCGTTGGCATAAAATCATTAGATATAAATTTTTATTCGACAGCTGTATCCAGCAATCGGATTATTGCTGCGATTTGTCTCATTCGAAGAATAATAAAAGACTGAATCTCTCTCGATGAAACCACAAAATGAGCACTTTAACTAATCAATAAAAGAAGAAGATTTGTAGTATAGAATTGAAAATATATTATTTACTCTCATGTCAATATTAAATAATATCAACAATCGAAACGACTCGTTTTTTTCTTTGTCGCTGATTAAGTCTCTATTCATTCTAGATCTCTCATTGATAAACAAATAATGAAAGTTTTTATATATTATGCACGTATAATGATTTGCTTAGCTTTAAAATAACAACAAACACATACAATAGATTAATTTAGAAATCAAAATTTCTCTAGTGTCCTTTCAAAAATTTTGCATAGAACAGATTTATCTATTATAGTTATGGCGGGAATTAGTTTCAAACATTCGTTGCAAATCAAATTATAAGAGCGAAGTTATTAACGAAAATGCTCTCATATTATTCTTTGGAAAGTTAATTAAATCATTTGAATTCTATGAGAGATGTTTAAAAGTAAGTTTGTCATACAGGAATTTTAGAGATCCTGTCGATGTATAAGCATGATAAAATCGAGTATAGTGCTTAGAAAGATTGTTGATTCAAGCAATTTATTCAGTATTGAAACCAAATGGTAGCGATTTTATTCTTCAATCATCAAAATGTTTTATCTCTACTTAAATATAATGACTTATAGTATCCTTGACAGACAGTTCATTTTTAGTGAAATCTGATTTTTTTCATAAGACCATTGAAACTTTCATGGCCTGAGACAAAACTAAGAACTCAGCTAGAAAAATTGCAATTAATAAACAAGTTTTTGCAATATATCACTTGAAAATTGTATTCTTTTTTTTAGTATAAAACCAACCATCTGAAACGATTCAATAAATTTTCTAAACAACGACCCCTCTATAATACTTTTTCCAATACCAACAAGAGCTGTCTTCACTGTTCTGGAATATTACAAAGAAAAACGAATACATCATTTAAATTATAGATAACATTCTATTGATATGCAGCAATATGTAAATCTACGTACAGATGTAAATAACAACTAGGAAAACATATAAAAAATTAATTATCTTTAGTGTGGATGCACTCAAGCCAAAGTGTTTTGCTATCAATATGTCATATAGACATTTGTTTATTTTAGTTAGTATCTTTAGGTGCTTTATGTTTTTGTAGAAGTTAACTATAACAAGCTACCCACTGAATATTTTATTGAAGAACTTGTTCACAACTTTCACATAGAATGTTATAAGACAGCATATGGAAAAGTAAAAATTAAAATATTTCCAATGACAAAGAAACAATCAATACTAGGCGTTGGCATTTTTTATTAAAAACTATAATCAACAATGAAATTCACATTAATATTAAAATGTTTGCTTATCTACTAAGTCATTATTCCTACAAGAAAGAGTATGGTGAAGATAAATTTCTGATGGAGTTGACGAGTAGGACTTCAAAGGCATTGCTAACCATTATTCTGTATAGATTAAAATAACATATCTATTATTGACTTCTGTTCACAAGACACGTTTATTCGAAAATATAGTGGATGTCTCTATATCTTACATCAACAATTATAACAAAAGGCACTGTATTTCAAAATTATTTTTTGGTTCCTTTCGTTAGTATTTTGTTTTTATAGAATACATAGAATACAATGATACATATACACTATAAACTAACAAAAAAGAGCAAAAGAAGCTAAGTAATTTGACCAACTGACTATAATTTGGAGAAATAATAACTGAAAAAAATAAAGAACTCATTAGCATCTTATCAACCGATCACCACTGTTTGAACAAAAATAACACTGCTTTTCAAACCATGTTAATTGTCCTGGAAATATTAAACGATGAGAATTCGTACCAGTTTGAAGTAAACATGGTGTTGCTTTAGTCATATTGAACACTGCTGGTAACAATCTGTAATTATCGATCGCTTTTCCTGGATGACTTTTATTATTCATTTTTGTGTGATTTGTAATGTCAACATCGATTTTAACGACTTGATCGCAACTATGACATTTTCTTTGTCCATTAATGCACATACACGAAATGCATGTATCATTTTTTGGTGTTAACCATTTTGTACCCGATGGAAAGTAATACATGATTGAAATCGGTCGTGCTGTATATACAATACATGGTCGAACACATGATTCATGAATCCTTACACATTTTAATTGACCATCTAATGTACATGAGCATCGCGTACAACTATTATGATCAATCCATGATGTTTCACGAGGAATTTCAATGTAACGACTAAGTTTGTTAGTTAGATTTGATGATGATGGAAAACGTTCGATTAATATACAAAATTTTGGTTCACTTCCCAATGAACATTCGGGTTGTATACGTACAGTTGTCACACGAGGAGTAAAAGGAATTTTATTGATAGATGGAGAATGATCGTTTCTAAAAAAACAAACATGAAATATTTAGTTATTTATTTTATAGAAACAAAAAGTTAAAAATTTCATCATTAGTTTTTTCTTTCTAGTGAAAATGAATTTCAACTCAATAATTATTACTTTGACATTTCCTGTGATCGTTGAACAACTGTTCGATTGGCTGTTAATGGGAATGGTGGTTTTCTACATAACCAATGCCCATTTTGAGAACATTTACAACTATAACACCCATCTCTAGATCTTACACGTAAACCTAATCGATTTTTTGAACAAATGACTACGCGTTGACGTATCGAAGGGAAATTTTCAATCGGCCATTTAGCTAAATCATTTGCTGTTGGTAATGTGCCATTAATGGATCGAAGAATAGTTAATGAATCAGAAGCAATCGATCGTTGTTGACTATAAAAGACGCGTACTTTACCTTGTTCACAAACACAATAAGGAGAGCCCGATACGTCCGTTCGACCCCATGTGGCACCATTTTCAAAACGATGTCCTTGATACCAACATTCACCTGATTCAAAGCCCGGTCCTGACCATGTGTACAATTGAATGTCTACTGGACGACATTCAATATCATCATTGCCTGGAACAATACCTAAGCAACATTGCTCAGGTCTTGATACCAGTAATAAATATATCGCGAATAAATAATGTAGCAAAATTCTTAAAAAGAAAAATAAATTGATTCGATATGGTTAATCGATCACTATTGATTAGTACATACTTAGTAATAGAAATCTGTATAGAAGCCAGGCTATTAAACTAATATGAATGTCAATTAATAATGTTTTATTGTCTAATGAATTTATCTAAATATTTGATCATTTTCTATATTTAATGTATACAAAATTTCTTCTTTCTAACATATAAAAAGAATGTAACGCAGCAAAAAGAAAATTAAGAAAACTTAGAATCTGTTGAAAAATTTACATATTTGCAATTTGTTTATCAATGATGACGACACACTACAGTCAAGTAATTCCGATTATTTCCTACATGCTCAGTCGGATGTAGAAAGAACATAGACAGAAAGTATTCCGACATGTTAGCACACTAGTAAACGCCTACACAAGTTCTATCTTATATGCATACATACATAAATAAACAAAGCATATACATCTCTCGTTGCATCTAATTAAAAAAACACTTATCAATAATACTCTTTCGATCGACAGACATACAAGCTTGCTGATAACATAGCCATAGGAAAATGTCTGTCGACATACAAAAAATTGTTTTGCTTTAAAGAAAATTACAAGTCAATCGTCATATTTTCGGAATGACTCATTTCTATGGGTTTCTATTATAGATTAATCAGTCACTCATTACCTTTTTCTTTTTCGTTCGATAAAATCGTTTTTGACGATTATAAATAAAACATATGATCAATAAAGTATGTATTTCTTCGAATCAAAATATTTTATGAACCCATAAAAAAAAAGAAAAAAGGCTTCTCTTCTCATTCTTTCACGTTCGTCTATCTTCTCTCTGACATTCTCACGATTAATAACAAAAACAAAAATACATCTAAAATAATAATTTAAGAAAAATAACTGAAGCAACTCTATTTGTCTTTCTCTTCCCCTTCATCGTTTTCTTTTTCGTTTGGTTGAGAGAGAGTGGGGGGAGGGGGGAGAGAAAAGGACCGAGCTGCACCAGCCAGCCAGACATACACTAATAAGTTCTTTGATCCAGGACAAAGCTTTATAAAAACATTGCACAAACAAACCTCAATATGGTGCATACTGACGAATTCCCTTTTTTCCCTCTCTCTTAAGTGATTTACTAATATTGAATCAACATACATCTCGTCACACATTTTTGTTCGATCAATGGTCAACAAATTTTTTATTTGTAACGGTTATTTCTTTCGTTGTACAGTTACAATCGTATGAATATTGATGTTCTATCATTCTCATAGGAAAATCAAAAATTCTTTTTATATTCATCTAGGAAAAATGTTAAGTAATCGGTTGATTTTCTCATGCAACATGATATCTTGATAGATTTTTTCATTTATCCTGTATAATAATCGCTAGTCTTAACTCTCATCTGGGTACTAGGAAAGAACCAAATTTCTGATGAATTTTTTTTCTTATTTTTCAGAGTTCTTTTACAACACACCATACTAACCTTCAAACAAGATTAAATAATAACAAAAAAGAATTGATAGATAACCATCATATATAGAAAACTAGAATCTAGATATAATAATTCAATGATAAAATCTATGCTAATTCAAGAATCCAATTCAATTAGTATTAATCGAAAATGACATGATTACGGATAAAATCCGAATATGAAAGCAATTATATATTTCTTTCCTTTGTTGCCAAGGACCTAATCGTTTCTCTTTTATATTGGATATGCAAGGTATTAGTTTGTGATCTGCTACGATAAGAAATTAAGTATATGCCATTCATATCATCATCGAATTAGATCGAATAAATCAAGTTCTGGATGAAAACGTCTATATGTTACCCCATGTATTGTCAATCTTAAACATATGTAACAAAATATCTTTTGTTTTAAAAACAATATGCATCCGGTTTTAGATAAATTCATTTCAGAGTAAATATGAAATGATATAAATCCATTTATTTGATGAAACTTGTCATATCGATATTGAGGTATGGTGGTAAATCAGCGAAAAACGTTTTAGCGAAAAATTTTCAGCGAATTGTAAAGGGTAAAACAGAGAAGTGTAAAATAGAGGAATCTTCAGTTTAACTTAACATGAAAAATAATGTGCTTTTTAAATTTAAAAGAAATGTAATACATGAGCATCAAATGATATAAAAAACTACCGATTTAGAAATAAAGTATTTGAAGGGTGTGTGTGGGTGTGGGCAAATGTTGATGTTGCCCATTAGCTTTAACGAATTGATCACTTGCATTGGTATGAACATTCGCTGCACAGCTATTTTTGATTGACAAACTCAGTACTTAACAGTTTTTGTGGACTTTTTTAGTCGATAAACATATCCTGAATAAATAAGCATTCGTTTCCCTCGATTTGAAATGGTAAAAGAGAGTATTGTCGGGTCAGTCATCATTGGTGAGTGAAATGGACTAAATGAATGAACTATGTACCATCAATTACGGACGATTATATATATCGAAAAAAAAAAGAATATAATAGATTAACACGTTGAGAAGAGTGAAACGGACAAGTGCGGTCATATATGCAGACACATCAGCATGATGATTCATCGTCAAACAAACAATCGAATTTTATCAAGAAAAGATTTCTGTAATTTCTACAGTCGCTCTTTTTGCTAATAAAACCACTTCGGGTTTTCGCTATTTTACTTTTCGCAGTCTTTATTTTCGCTCATTTTTTTCGCTATTATAATTTTCGCTCAATCGACACCATATCTTCTTCTTTTTTGTTCTTCTTCTTCTTTTCTCAATATTATTCATCATTTTTAATTAAAATATAATCTACATATCAATAAATAAAAAATATATCTAAAGGAATATTTGTTGCCATTAAACTGTTCCAAATTTTATTCTAAATACAAAATGAGTCATCTGTTAATAGATTTGAGATCACTCGAAACATAGTAACTGTGATGATTATAATAGTAGCACATCAATGTAATTTTCTTTCTAAATCATACATGTTTTCGTCTAGAATATTAATTATGCTTTAACTAATTATGAAGACTATTTACATAGAGGAACGTATTTAGTCAACTTTTATTGAATGAAAATTCTTCAACATGCACTTCCTTGAATAATAATTTATATTAACAAAACAAAATCAAATATTGATTTAGTATTATAGATTATTATAGATTTTTTCGTATATCTTACTAGCTGTAGCATAGACTAACAAAGTAAATAGAACATAGAAGAAGATAAAAGTATAGGATTAATTCATGCAACTAATGTTTGACCAGCATTCAGTGCATCTATAAAAATTAATTATTGAATTCATAGTTCTTCAAAAACTTTTTGTCCAATGATATGATAGACGCCAAGTGATAAAAACACTTACGGATTAAATAAATAATGACAAGCATCACGGTACTGGAAAGGAACGGCTGTTGCATTATCATTGTTGTGACAATGCAGCAGCTGCAACTGTTATACGGTGAGAAAATAAAAACATAGCTTATGTTGCCCGAGTCCAGTGCTAATAGTATGACAGAATTTTATTGATTTTTAATTCTATAGTCACTAGAAATATATGTTTACTTAAATTTTACGAGCGAATCAACATTACAATCATTCAATAGCCGTCAATGTTCATCATTACTCACTTTTATACGAGTTAATAATATCAACGGTAGATAACATGTTTACCAAATCATTCTCTTTTCTAGAACTGCAATTCTACAGAGTCGAAAATATAAATTGAACAGTAATAGAAACTTGAAAGAATGAATAGAAATGAAATTTATTTTCTACCAAACATACTATAACAATACTATGTAAAATGATGTTACACTATAAATTAAATTATTTTTATTCTGTTGATATTCATCACTATGATTTTTTGGAACACTTATTTCCGTATGACGAGAAATGAATTATTTATTCGCGTATCGGTGTGATCGAATTGGAATGACATCAATACGTTTTTCATCGAGATTTGAAGGCGGAAAATTTTCTTGTGAATGTGTTGCATCAAAAAGTATGTTTACTAAAATTTAAAAGATAGATATTTTACAGAAAGTAAAATAAAATTTCTTTTAATTTACTAGGTGATTGTTCTGATATAGTATATTGTGGATTTAGATTTCGGCGTGAGAAATCTTCAGAATGTTCATTTGCAAATATATTAACAAAAGTTCGACCGAGTGTTGTATCTTGAGAAAAAATTCGCAGTAAAAAATCACAATTTTGATCAACATCGGCCATGCTAGGAATAATTAAATATGCACCTGTCGTTGTTTTCAATAATAGTGAAACTTCACGTCGATTGACTTTTTATTTTTGAATAGATCAGTAATAAAATAGATAATAGATAATTAACTTACCATACGGTCCGGTTGATGCTTAAGAAAAAAAACAAATTCTCATATAGTATAAATTTCTTTTAGTTACTTACCAATACGTTCAACTTCATCGGGTTTATAGACCTTTTTTTCGCAAATTTTAACATTGGGTTTGATTTTAAAAAGACGAATTTGTACATATTGTTCATTTGATATTGAATTTGAACTATTTGATATTGGCTTTTGCATCAATGCAATTATCATCATACATAATCTATTGGAATTAAATGAACGATTCAATGTTAATTCAATGACGAATTGTGGATTACGCCAATAATAGCAACCATGACGACAACCAGAAGTTGCACATGAACCACCGCTATTTTCACCAGCACGCCATGATCCAAGTACATACCACATACGCCAATGATGTTTATAGTCTTGAGTATTTAATCCAAATTCTGAAAATAAAACATGAAAGACTCGGGCATTATTAGAAGTATTCCAATTGACAAGTTTGATTTTTCAAATATTTAGAAATTAGCATAGGCTACCTAATACACTTTCATCTATTTGAATTTAATCAAGAGTTTGAATATTCAATCAAAAATGATCATATGAATGTGCTAGCTTTTGTTACACTTCGAAGTTCTTTGCTGAGATCTCACAGTTGTGAAGTTTTTGTGATATAATTCAGCCAATTTTATTTTCATTGGATTCAAACGTAGTCAAGTCCATCTGACTCATTTATATCACTATTGAACTTCTAAGCAGCTACTTATTTTACGCTTATATTTTAACTGCAAAATGGCAACAGCACAGTAAGCATGCTTGCGTCAATTTTTACTAGAATCGATTATTTTGTGAAACACGATCTGAAAGGAGTGTTGAAGCATATAGGGTAGAAATTTGGATCCATCCCCACCCCACCCGACAGACCGTGACCGGAAGACTGCATATATGAATACAGACAGTGACAGAAAAGTTGCAAAGACTCACAGACCGCGGTAGACAGGTTTCAGCAAAGGAGTTCCATCGTGTTTCGCATTTTAATCCCACAGGGATTGCGCTAGCAGCTTTTACTTCAAAAACACAACCAGAGTCCCGTTAACAGAACTTCAGAGACGTTATGTATCTACAGTGAAAGTTTTCGTTGGAAAAAAAACTGGCTATGCAATCATAGATATTTTACCATCATACGTATCGGGACTGATATGACAAACTTCCATAACATCAAATTCTTTATAGAAATCATTAAATGACATCCAAAATTCACCATCATGTTTTCTCTGTATACTTAATCTTCGTCGTGTTTTCTCATCAAGTAAATTCCAAACTGGATCAGCATCAGACCATTTTCCATTCCATTCTATATCATTCCCCCATGGATTTCGAAAACGAATTAAACCACGATCACTTAATTTTGATAATTTATTATCGTATGTTACTGGTAGTACATGATAGTTAGTTATTGAGTATGTATGACCAATAACAAGGCCATTTGATAAAATAGTTTCTGCTTTACGTTTATCAGCATTAATTGAACATGCTATGAGTGATCCATAATCAATACATGATTTAATAAAATCAAATAAATCATCGGGACGTAGATGTGTTACAGATAGATTTGATTTAAATTCAAAGCGTTGTTCAATGCCACCAGTAAAATCTGTTAAAGCGTTGACGGGTAAACCACCGCCTAAATTTGTATAATTTCCATTTAATTTTGCGTAAGCTTTTTCAAGTAATGACACCCAAAATTCATTGAGCTCGAATAAATTTCTTGCACCCCACAATCGACGTTGTTTTATTAAAAACGGTAAACGATCATCAATAACAATATCATACCATTGTTGATAACGCCAAAAACGAAAGTGAAATATACCAGCTAAAAATCGATCGAAAATTTCTCATCTACTCACCATACCAATCTGTATGAAATGATTGATCAGGTGGAATAACTCGTGTAAGTACTGTACTGTTTTGGGTTAAAGCAGTCATAGCTGCTACGAACCAACAGTTACCTTGAAAAATAAACAAGATAATACCAATCGTCTGATTTGTTGTTGGATCGATTTCCATTCGAAAATGCGTATTTACCTAAGTCACCTTGATTTGGATCTGTACGTTTTATTCCATTGACAATCAATTGAGGATCTTCAACAATTTCATACGGACGCCGCCAAGCAATTTCATGCCAATTAGGAATTAATTTTTTATAATTATGAGATAAAGATTCTGGATTTGCTGGAAAATTTGGATCTTCAAAAAGTTTTCCTTCTTGACGACAATGTAAACGGATTGATTCAAAATTTTGTCCTTCAAATAGTCGAATTGTATGTTCCCACTTGGTCATAGTTTATCATTAATAGAAAGAAAAACATATGTATATGAATTCATTTTCTTTGGTAGCCTATTTTGACAAAAAAAACAGGACAATCATCTTATCATCCAAACGCGCTTGTTTTTCCTTTCTAATAAAATTATTATTATTATATAATTCTTATTGATTATAAGAAAAACATTTCATTTTGTAATAGAATCTCTTGACACAATAATGGTCATTTTAGAACCTTGAAAAATAGAATTCAATAAAAATATATTCAATTCAAATTAAAATAATATCGGAAAAATCGTAAGCTTCTTAATAGTGACTGATAGATCTTCATGATTGAGCGCAAAATGGGAATGAATAATGATGCTGTTCTAAAACTGAACATTAGAGAAATCTTAAAAAGTGACGATCACTGTTAATATATATTTTTTGTTGTAATCAAGATCTTAAAGGTTAGTAACAGAATTGCAGAAGAGTTAAGACTTTTTTTTAAATATAATTCATAACTTCGAAAAACAGTTTCCTTCTCTAGATTATGTAATAGCTCTACTTAGAGAACATAACACTCGAACACTGTTCAATCTCGATTGTCAATAAATTATTCAATTTGTTCTAAAACAATAACGAATGTTAAAATAATTTAGATGTCATTATAAACATTTGAAAAGTTGGAAATGCAAAATATATAATTAGAATATAATTAGTTTGATGTTATTTTATAATTCGTGGATGAATGTAAAACAAGTAGACGATACTATAGGAATAAATTGATAGATTTTCTAATTCGGATTTGTCGTATTATCACCGTAGTGACACAACCAGAAAAAAACGATTATAGTTGTTGAGTATTAAATTTGTACTTAGACATTGCATGAAAATAAACGTCCTGCTTTAGTACTTGTGAAGTTCTTGATGAAACTGCTCAATTCAATCATTAAAAAATATCAGCAACTTGTATAGTTCTGTCGGTATCCATGGTCTCCGTCTCAGTAGAACTCACCGTATATGTTTGTTTAATAATATTTGTATATATATATATATATAATTCTGTATACTCAACCTTTTCATATTGTTTTTTAGCTTTCTTTTTATCTCTTGCTAGTCGTACATCAAGTCGAATCTCATCTTTCGTGAGAAACATGCCTAATTAAAACGCAATCAAATAAAATCATAGTCCATGAATGACAGTGTTTTCTTCATCCTATTGTTGATGTCATAATTTTGCATAACTTGACAAGTGATTTACATATCAATTAACAATTCATTTCTATAGGTTAATAAGAGAAACGATTCCATATTGTATTGCCAATGGAATCATTGATTCAATGGTAAATTCATCAATAAGAGCGGTTCGTCTATTTTAGATTACATTGTTGTCGGTATGTACGAATACAGCTGGTGTTTCCTTTTGATTTTCAGATGAGAAGAATACTTTTATTTTTCTTCATCTATTGTTCATTGCAAAGAAAATTTTTTTTTTCTTCTTGTTGAATACAATAAAAACACAACAGTTTCAAAAGCCATTAGAAGTTATTTGACAATTCTATATATTAATCTGTCTGTGAATAATGCTCAAATGTGTTTAGCTTCATCGGTCATAATATACAAACTCATCAACAAATCATTATAGACTACCGTTCTCTTTAATTGTATTTAAATGGCAAAATGATCCTAAGCTTTTGTTCATTCTTTTTTTCTTCGATTTTTTTGCCGTTCTTTTAGTTCTAATGAAAAAGAAAATACAATCATACGTGACAAGAAAGTACGTAAGTTCATTCAAGAATAGGAAATCACATAAAATAAATCGTAAGACATACTATTCTATGCATCATTTACCGTTTAGTTAACATCTGTTCTCCTTTTTTTTCTTAAATTATTATGTACTACTTACGACTACCTCCTCCATCGATCATTGAACTGTCGTTTTTACTTGCATGCATTCTCGTTCTCTTTCTCTTGGTAGTTATCAATAAAAAGAGAGACGAAATCTGTCATTTACTAGCAACATACTTTTATATTCGACATCAAACAGTAGTAGAGTGGTCGCCTATTCGATTGCATGCGCATAAACTCTCTCTCTCTCTCTCCACCTTCTTCTCAATATCTTTAAATAAAAAAGTTGCGTGTTTCTTCTCTATAGTATCCGTCGATTCCGTAAGTAAAACTAAGTAATGATGAATAAATCGGTTTACACATATGAACATGAGGAGTATTATTTAGCGGGAAAAAAGAGCAGAAAAAAAAAGAAACGATGGATAATGATTAATGAACAGAGCAACTAGTCATTGTCAATAATTAGAATGGAAGTAACATGGAACACGAAGAAAGAGAAGAAAAATTATTCTTTCAGTTTTTCTTTTTGGTCACATTTGATACAAGTAAGTAATATATCAGCAAGTCAGTCTTGCAAGAAAAAAAACAGTATTTTATTTTTCGTCTTGTTTTACGATGAATAAATTGATTGATCGTGGGCCATTGATGACAAAAAAAACTAGTTCATGACATGTATCGATGCTCTTTTCATGCTGATAGATATTGCAAATTTCGACGGTTCTGTTTTTCTTGTCAAAGACGGAGAGAATTGTGTTTTTTTGGACTGTAACATTGAAAATTGAGTATTTTATGCTTTTGAGTTGCTTCCACTGTGATCTGCATTGAACTTATTTTAAAATGTATGTGGTTCTATTCATCCTATGGTTTGCCATCGAAGTATGTATCACTTTTATTTTTCTTTATGAATTTATTGTCGAGGGAGCTCTGTTTTCTCTAACACGGAAAGATCCCTGAACGATAGTTTGTGTTCTCAATTGGTTTTATAGTAGTTAGTAGTGTTCTATGAATTGATCAGATTCGCAATGTGCGTTATTTCGTATCGATTGTTTTTGAGGTCTGATAATTCGACATTAAGTTTAGAAAATTGACAGGTAATTGCTATGTCACAAACTAGTTTTATGTTAGCATAGTCATCAATACTGAAAACGGGCAGCACAAGATTTTCTTTTTTTAATATAGTGAATCGGAAAATTTTCGCAATTATGTTTTATAGCTGATCAAAATTCTCTGGGGAGGTACGATTTAGTGATTGGTTTACATCTGCCTATGAAAAAGTATAACCGAAAATTCAGATATTTGAAAGATGATCAACATATGTTGTATATTGTTAAGGGATGAATATATATTTGAAAAAAATAGCTCAGATTCAAGCATTCTCAGTAGGAGTCAATAAAAGCTTACACAGTGCTAAAACTTACAAGTCTAAAGATGATGGGAAAAAGGAGATCTATATTTTGACATTTTGTATGATAAGCTTCGAATCAGATAGCTAAAACTTTGGCAACCATCGTTTTCCGATCTTCCACAAAATGTAACGCTTTCTTGAAAATAAGATATCATCTTGTGCATTACCTTAAAAAGCTAACTCTGTTGATATGAAAGGCGTAACTTGCTTTGGTCTCTTGCCTGTGAGTTGAAAACTCTAAACTTATATAAGTCGCTAGATGATACAGACGATTCAACAAGAGAAGTTGCCCCTGTCACGCAAGGTGCATGCAAAACGGAATAATTTCAGAAGCTGGTAAGAGGTTAAAAGTAGAAAATTTTGCACATTTTGAAAAAGTTTATTTTTCAAGTTTTTAATTTCTTTCCCTTTCCACGAAAATGCATCCATAAATCCTGTGATTATCATTCTTGCGTAATCATCGACGCCTACTCTATCAAATAACAGGTAAACAGAGAATGAAAGCACAGCATTTTAGGTGCAACTTCGTACTGCATGTCGATGACTTTCTTTAATGCTGAACGATCGATTGATTGTCTATACGCATTTCGTTTTGATCGATAAATAACGAATATCGTATAGACATATCATTGATTACAAGCACCTCATCATCAAAGTCAAACTATGAAATATCAAATAAATTAATTTCACATGTACTAATAAATTTGATATTCATGAAGTAATTGCATTCAAGAATCGGTACCGATCACGATGATCATAAAATCAGTTAAGAAAAAAACGAAATCAAATTTTTAGCCATTTCATCTTTAGATATTCCATTCAAGTAATAACTATACTGATATAGTTTAGGCGCGTATACGTATGTTTGCGTATAAAAAGAATTCGCGTGCATGCCAGTTCAATGATTACCATTCATATTAGCGATAATGGTTGATTCGTGTCTGTTGGCAATTATATTCATGACTTGTGAAATCGATCTATTGAAGACCGAACGTAAAGCACAAAACGACGATCTTGTAGTTTTGACTGCAACAAATAAACAGAAATATCCAATATAGCTGATGATTGATGTATTTACTTTTTCTTTAGTAATTCATAATTCGGTTTCTTTCTTTTTGTGTACTCAAAAAAAAAAGAGTACACTATAGAATCGGTCAGTGTGTCCGTCCGTCCGTCCGTTTATTCGATAACTCTTCACAATTACATTCGATTGAGCTGAAATTTTGTGCACAGAATTGTCTTATCAATATCTAGGTCGAGTTCGAAGATGAGAAGGATCCGTCAAGAAATGGCTGAGTTGTCGAAAAAATTGTCATTTTTGATCAGACCATCCCTGAGGGGGAGTACAGGGATTTTTCAAAAAAAAAATTTTCTCAGAATTATTCACAACATATATAAATCGACTCAGTTTTTAACGCTGATTCTAAATCTGATATTAGTTTTGAACTAAGTCATAGCTTTCTAACGAAACATCGCCTGAAAAACGTCTCAAAATTCACAAAAACTCCATCCAGAAATCAAATTGTCTAGCTTCTCATGATAATTTTCGTGTTCAGGCATTCTAGAATGACTGATATGTCGCATGCACTTTTTGCAGTACACATAACCCTCGGATGAAATCCGAAGTTTCCACATTTATTTTGTCTTATATTTTGTACAACTCATTTTGTGTCTATCATCAAAAGATTAATCATAAGTTGGTATTTTCAGCTCTATTTTATTTTGTTCCAATCTAAATGATATCGGAGTTTTTTTTTATTCATAACAGATCAAGTGACATTGTTAACGATTTGAGTCAATATTGACTAATGATATTTGCAACGTGGCAATATATGTGAAAATAAATCGCAGTTCTTTTGAAAGACTTTTAAATATTTTGATTCTTTGAATTATTTAACTGTATGAGTACATTTTCATAAAAACTATTGCTGAATCAACCAAGGAAATAGTTTATGTAGGTGCTAATGATAGTACTGATACAGTTAAAAGTTTAACCGATTTTATTTGAATTTCGAGACGAAGAAAAGATCGATAATGATTCATTCATCGTAAATGATATAAATATTTCTTATTTTTGTTTTGGCATAATTATGATGTTATTTTAATTCTATGAAGCTTGAAATCTAATATTAAATACTAAATTATTTTAAGAAGGATGATCTATCGTTAGAAACTTAGAGAATATTTATTTTAGAAATAAAATTAGCTCATCGATTTCCTGGAATCATGTCTCTTGCTGTGGTAAGTCTTCATTGCAGTTTTATAATATCGAACTATTGATTTATATTCTGAAGCGAAGCGGAGCAGTTCTTCAATGAAGAAGTATTTTTATTTTTAAATTCGCATTGAAAATACAATTATGCAAAAAATATCTTGATTCAGCTCTTTAGTACTTCAAGTTGATAAGATTAATGAGTGAATCAAAAATGATCTAATAAAAATTGAAGGATAAATTCATGTATTTTTCTTCAGAAATATTTAATTATGATTTATTGATATCTGCACTATTTTTTAGTGACAAAATGCAATAGAAAAAGTTCGCTTATCATTTAAAATCCAATAAATTTAAGGAATATATCTAAATAAATCATATCGATAAAGTCCTGTAATCATTTTTTGTGTACTCAAAAAGTGAGTACACTCTAGAATCGGTCCGTGTGTCCGGCCTGCCGTAGGCACGATAACTTGCGAAAGGAGAGTCAGACCGTGATGAAATTTTCCACACAGTTCAATCTCATGAATATCTCGGTCGAGTTCGAAGATGAGAAGAATCCCTCAAGAAATGGTTGAGTTATCGAAAAAATTGTCATTTTTGACCAGGCCATCCCTGAGGAGGAGTACAGGGAATTTTTTTCAAAAAATAAATCTTTCTCAGAATTATTCACAACATATATAAATCGACTCAGTTTTTAACGCTGATTCCGAATCTGATATTAGTTTTGAGCTAAACCGTAGCTTTCTGATGAAACATCGCCTGAAAAACGTCTCAAAATGCACAAAAACTGCATCCAGAAATCAAATTGCCTAGTTTCTCATGATAATTTTGGTGTTCAGACATTCTAGAATGACTCATACATCCCATGCACTTTTTGCAGTACACATAACTTTCGGATGAAATCCGAAGTTTCCACATTTATTTTAAATAAAAACATGAGATCAGCCATAATTAAGCTATGGTAGTGCTTGTGTGTTTCGAATTCGCTTCTAGTTTTTAGAATATTTCGGTTTCTTTTTGATTATGACCCTGAAGTTTTATTAAAAACTCGTCAAAGCTTATCCAGCGATTATTTTATGATCGTTATATAAAAAAATCTATTTTGGCAGCTGTTGTCTATTACAAATTAATTTGACCTTTTCTAGCAGGAAAAAGAGCGGCTGAAGAATTCAATGATTGACTAAAAACGATTTTGTATGATCACCAAATTCAGGCGATTTAATATGCATTTTTAAATAATATATTTTAATTATTGGTATTTAATCGAATAATTCTTAGACGAATTAGAGAAAAATGTAATGTTTCATTACGCCAACGAGTGATTAATAAAATTCAGCAGCATTAAAACTAATAATCGATTATAATGGTAATGAAGTACAAAAATATTCATAAATCAATATGGTTCTTTTTTATTTCGAAAAGTTGTTTTGATTGAAAAATAATACTTAGGCATTATCGAGTAAATAGCACATGTTACTATTATTACAGTTCTTCATATGTACTTAAAGCAAACTATCGGGAAAAAAAGAATTTTAAACTTATATGACATTTTATCGAGGTTACAAACAATCTTTTGTTTTAGTAATTTTAACGCTGATGCATTTTAACAAAGTTTGTTGCAAAATTTCTGTCCCATCTTCTAGCAGTCATCGGAGAAAATTTAGATTATGATAAATGGACTTGTTTTGTTCGTATGTTGTTTTTTTTCGTATTTATATGAAATGATAAAAAAAGCACATATTGATAACCGATCTATGGAAGTCCCTTCTGTTTGGTTTCTTTATCTTAAGAAACCATAAACTTTATTTGCCTGTCACACTTTGCTTCGATGAATACAGAAAAATTGCATTTAACACAATCAAAAATTTGTAACAAGATTTGTTTTATTTATTTATTTTTTACTTTTTGATTATATTTCTTTGTATAAAACCGTACTTTAAATTTGATTTTTATTGATTTTTAAACAAAAAAGAAGAAGGAATCCACTCATCAAAGCATCATGGCTTTGTTCTTTTCTTTGCAAAGAACAAAAAAACGAAATAATGCTGTTTTCTTTTGTTCAGCGAAGCAACTACGCTTCTTCAAGGTAGATCAATAATCGTTGAAAATAGAATACATTATATCGTACTTCTTTTTTTCTCTCTATTATATATGTTTAACACAATCAGAACATTCTTACCAAATCACAACCGTCTTCTCGATTGATGTATTTGATGAAGGAGAGAGAAAAAAATTGACTCAATTAAATGTGACTGAGTTTTTCTTTTTCGTTCGTTTCTTTTTCTTGATTCTGATCATGTTATCAACGAGAAATGACGTTCTTTCATAGTCACACATACACGTAGCTACTTGTCTGACTCGTTTTTTTTTTCGTTTCACTTTCGGGTTCGCGATGCCATCGATTACAACTAAAAATATATATAACAACGACAGAGAAAAAAATAAAATAAAACAAACTGCGAATTTAATTCATTTTTAGATGACAACTAATCATATGAATCGAAATGTTCGAAAACATAGAAAATTAGTCATCGTTGGTGATGGTATGTGTGGTAAAACATGTCTATTATTTGCTTTCAAAGATGATCGATTTATTCCAACGCATGATGCAACTATTTTTGATACTTATGTAGCCGATATTCAAGTCGATGGAAAAACAGTATGTAATTTTAAATCTACAGGTTCTTGTTTTTCATTAATACTATTTTTCTTTTACATATAGATTGATTTAGCTCTTTTCGATACAGCTGGCCAAGAAGATTATGATCGTCTTCGTCCACTATCGTATCCTGACACAAATGTTGTTCTTATATGTTTCAGTGTTGATAGTCCAGTATCAGCTACCAGTGTTATTGAAAAATGGGTACCTGAAATTCGTCATTTTTGTGGTCAATGTCCTGTGATATTAGTAGCATGTAAAAAAGACCTTAGAACAGATCCACAAACAATTGCAAAACTAAAACAAGACGGTGAAAGACCGGTGACAACCGATATTGGTAAACGGATAGCAGCCGAAATCAAAGCTGATGTCTATATGGAATGTTCAGCGAAAACTCGTGAAGGTGTACAAGATTTATTTATTCAAGCTGCTCGTCTATCACTTAAGAATCGTTCTCATAGAAAGCCTGGCGCATCGTGTGTTTTGACTTAGATCAAATGTGTATTCTTCTTTTTATTTCCAATTGATCAAGTATTTTACCCAGTTTATTATCATATTATGAACGCACCATGAAGAACATTACGGATACTATGTGTTTTTTTTCTTCGTTTTGCTAAATAGATGTGATAAAATATTTATCATTTAAATACATAATGATTATTCTTCGAAATGCTGCTTGCCTTTGCGAAACAAAACTTTTCATCATGCATTGAATGTAGAGAAAAGAATAGCGTTTTACACAAGAAAAAATATTTTTTAATAAAATTTTTGATGATCTTTTAAAACTACAATGATAATTTCAATAGCGACTAGACTATGTTTGATTCATCCATCTCGTCTTACTAGTTTTTCATGAAAACTGAGATTATTAGAAGAATGATATTGTATGTGGAAAAGAAAGAAAGAAAGAAAGAAAAAAACTATTGTTATGACACATGACATTTGTAATGTAAGTGTTATCGACGAAATATAATAAACAAGTTCTGTCTCAATATGAAAGTCTTGCCCAGGTCGCTGTTTGCTTTCTACTTTGATAGCATGAGTTTCAACGAATAAATTTCGACTTCAAAAATACATTAATATCACGAGTTGTGATTCAATTTTTCGTGAAGAAAATCATATCAATGTACCAAAAATAACTTGAAATATAAATTCTTTTGGCTAACTGAAAAATGTTTAATTGTCTATTTCCATACGAACAACTTCGTCACTTATCCTATAGTGGCACAAATATTATACTTCAATATTTTAGTATCAGCAGTCCTGCGGCAGCAATCAATGTGATGGAGAAATTCAATATATATTTTCATGAATACTGTTTAATACTGTTAGTCTGTAGAAAGAAAGATCTCAGAAGCGATTCTCAAATAATTGCAAAACTGAAAAAAAATGACGAAACACCGACGGCAACGGAAGTTAACAAATGGATAGCAGCAGAAATCAAAACTGATGCTCATATGGAATGTTCAGCACAAACTCGTGAAGAAATATAGGATCTATTTTGTTCAAGCTACTCGTTTATCATTGAAGAAATATTCTCATAGAAAACCATGTAGAAGTTACGTTCTGTATTAAATCGCATAGTCTCATTATTTTTTTATATTTTTTAAGCCATAAATTATAGTATTTAATTTTCGTTGCAATGGTGTGGCTGCGTTGGATGTATATCAATATTAGTATTCAAGTTGTTTTTAATCGATTCAACACGGACAATCATTCACTCAATGAGAAACATAGCTCCTTCTTTTGCAGATATCGTTTAACGAACAGAATTTGATGGGATTTCTGACTGTAAATTGAGAATTCTTTGACGGGTATACGTTAGCTAAAAGAACAGTACATTGTTGAGGTGCACTAGAAACGAATTTTGGTTCAAAAGTCTTATCAAAAATGTGTTGGCAACTATATTTGCTCATCTCGCTAAGCTTTCATATATTGCTGAAGACAAAGGTGAGTCCAAGTTAAAAAGCGGAGATTTTGTGGTCTCCACCATTCCGCGCATTCGAGTCTGCATGGATTAGGTTGTTGTTTCTTTATTTTTCTAATGAAAGATTATTCATTAAAAGAACGAGAACTAGACATAACAGATATAAGTAGCTAGGTAGTGCCTTAGTTAAAGGTCTTAGAAATAAGATTGATTTTTTACAAAAGATTTTTCACTTGAACTATTTCATATGAGTCTAATAAATCTAAATGTGAGGTGTGTTCTACATGTACGCCCTGAAGAGACTGGACTGATAGATTTTCTTTGAACACTCAGGTTTAAATGATCAACAACAAAAGAAATCATTTAAAACGAGAAATCGATTGTATCCGTGAACGTATGATCATACATTATTTTTCTAACTTGTGGTTAGGTCCCTGTGAGAAATGTTGTTAGCCATAAGCATAATAGAGTTTTTTCTTTCTCATTAATGGATTTGTTAGATGAGATATCATCATGATTTGACTTTAAAATGTAGCATTGAAATTAATTTTCTAATTAATCATAAATATCAGTAAATTCAAGGCATAAAAAATATTCAATATAAAATAAAAAATAAAAAACAAAATTCAAGCTTCTTTCTAACAGTACACTAACTCCCATTGTTAGTTAACGTGGTTTATGATTGTTGAGTCATTCTCGTCCAATTATCATTTTAACTAAGGTAAATTATTCATCCTTTGTAAAAAAAAAGAGGGGGGGGGAACTAGGTCAAAACTAATGTTTTGAATGAATCATAACTGTTTGAAGACATACAAATTGATGAAAGGATTATTCTTATCTTACTATCATGAGTGTGAAAAGACTATTACCAAATGAAAAACACTTTCCGGATTATCTACTTCTCGTCAGTCAACATCATTTCTATGCTTTGCTCTGCCATGTGTTTTGTTTTCTTCTTTTTGACTGCATCTGTTATCGAAACAAGATGTGGTTTTGTGTTAGAATGAAAATAGATCTTCTCTGTAATATTCCATATTTCTCGTGGAACACTATGGAATAGAATAATTTAGACTTGGAAATTTATTGAAAGTTCAAAGCATAGTTTTCCAAATCGTACGTATTAAAAGCTGAAATTTGTATATTCCTGTGCGTCTCATTAATTCTCAACACAGTAGCATAGTAATCCTTCATTGGATAATTGACTGTTAGCTTTGACAAAAAAAAATGCGAAGAAAAGATTTTAAGTCTTCATGATCCTGATATTCCAATTAAGCTGTATTTTATGATAGTTGTACAAATGTTTACATCGACACTAGTTAGATACCTACGAGGACATTTTTTCGGGTGCAAACAGAGCTGGAATGTTTTTCAGAAGGTTGACAAAAAGTCTAACTTCCGGTAACATAGAGTTTGTAAAGGAACAAGAAGTTTGCCATTGAAAATTCGTAGGAATCTTTATTTTTGAGTAGCAAAAAAAGAGTGAAAAATATCAATTTTTGACAGGCATGAAACGACTGAATGAGTTAAACATCAGTTTTTAAACCCATAAGATTTTTGAATAAGCTATTGTGTGATAGATTCATATAGATTACATATTAGATGGAATACTCTAAGAAAACTTGTAAAGATGTAACAGATTTGTCGATTCAAACGTCTTGTGTGCCAATTAAAAGTCACTGTAATATAAAGTCTAACGGAAATTGTATTTTGTATTAAATCAAATTTTATTAATTGTTTTCCTTTTCTAAATAAAGCTGATAGAATATCTATTAATTATTTATATAGCAAATGATAACTACCTGCAGTGTTTATTGCATCAATACTATTAACAGAGAAGTACTCTCGTCTATAGTCAAACTATTTGCCTCTGGTATTAGTAACAAAATAAGATTAAGTATACAAGACTTTCGCTAATTCAATTAAGGCAAAACACAATGCAAATGATTCGACAGATGAAATTCTCAGTAGATATTTAATTACCTGTTCGATTAACCATAACGATTTCAAATATCCTCAGATTACGTTTAATTAAATATGAATTTTATCAGAGCTGTACAATACAAAGTATAAATTTAGTAGATCATTGAATATTTGAAGTCTATAAACGAGTCAAATAAAAAAAACTATTGTTATCTTTTATGACATTTTGCGATGAAACTGTTATCAAATAAACTTCATCGACGAGTTCTAACACCATACGAAAGTCATTATTCTAAAGCCTTGACCAAACTTTTTTTGTCTTTCTAGTTTGCTAATATATATTTCAAAGCAATTAATTTCAACTTCATAAATATTGGCGTACATTTAACATCATTCGTTGGAATTTTATTTTCTGCGACGACAAAACATATCAATAAACGAAAACGAAAGCAACGATACATTTTTTCGGTGAAGTGAAGACGTTTTTCTTTTATTTTTCAAGATGCACACTCGTCAAGTTCAATTTACTCGTAAAAATCGAAAACTCGTTGTTGTGGGTGATGGTATGTGTGGTAAAACATCGCTTTTATTTGCATATAAAGATGATGAATTTCTTCAGCAGCATTCTCCCACTGTTTTTGAGACTTATGTAACCGATGTTCAAGTCGACGGAACAACAGTAAGCGAAGAAAATGTTTACTTTTACTGAACACTAACAACTCTCCTTGTCTACCTACAGGTTACTCTAACTCTTTATGATACAGCTGGCCAAGAGGATTATGATCGGCTTCGGCACTTAACATATCCTGAAACAGACATTGCACTTGTATGTTTCAGCGTCGATAGCCCTGAATCGGCTCGAAATGTCATTCAAACATGGATAATTGAAGTTCGATATTATTGTGGTCAATGTCCTCTAATATTAGTCGCGTGCAAAAAAGATCTGAGAACTAAGCCCGAAGTCATTGCTCAATTGAAAGAGTTGGGTGAAATTCCTGTATCCAATGCAGTTGGAAAACGGATAGCAGCAGAAATCAAAGCTGATGCTTATATCGAATGTTCAGCGAAAACCCGTGAAGGTGTACAAGATCTATTTATTCAAGCTGCTCGTTTATCATTGAAGAAGTCTTCTCCTAGAAAACGATTTCGAAATTGTGTTTTGTGTTGAATCAATATATGTATGGTTTTGTTTTGTTTTTAAAAAAATGCAACGAATGATCAAAAGAAAGATTTGAAACGTTTGTTATTATTAATTGTGACTTCAAAGACTTCTTGAATGGATTTCTTTTATTGTTTTTTTACATGACAGCTTAACTGACATTTAATCAAAAGTTCAATAGTTAGTTCTATTTTAAAAATGTCAATAGTTGGAAAAGAAAGTCTTGAATGAATCATACGAGCAAGTGAGGTAATATTTCTTATTTTGCTTTCTTCTAGATAACGAAACTATTCGCGAATGAAGATTTTTTTTCTTTATTCTTTATTCAATATGAAAAGCATAATTTTGATATTGCACTGTCACTTGTTTCTCTTTCATCGTATATCTTAATTAGAAAAGCTTGTTAGCGCAGCCCCTTTGGGACTAAAATGTGGAACTCACATATATCCCTTCGGCTTACTAAAATAATTCAAAATAATTCATCTGAAAAATCTACCCTGATGTCCAAAACCTATAATTAGATCATTGCCTATTTGCACTTATGTCTGTAATTGAGTATTAATTGTTAGCTCATATATTTAACAAGGGTAGAGACTGGTTTCTGTGGTCTGTAATGGTACCCTAAGCTAGTTACTATGGTCTGTAATGGGCAAACATTACTTTTTTCGTGTAGTCTGTAATTGAAAAAGGAAGAAATAGCAGCCTAAATAGTCAAGCTCCTAATTAGCACAATTTTAAACTCATTAATGTCTGTAATGGGGAGGGGGGAGCCGCAAAAATCTCGCCTTTAAACTTACATTCGCCATTTTCTTCGAAAATATATGTGAGTTCCACAAAACATGAATTTTCGCATGTAATAGAGAAGAAGCTTATTAAAATGCTTCGTACTGTGTGAGAAAAACAGCAAACGATACGAAAGAACATCTATAATTGTCGGGTAACATCGAAATATCTTCAAGATATTAATTCAAAATCACATATGTGTGAAACTCTAGTGCGGATATTAACACACAACTTATTTATTCTCAGCAAATCGCATTCGGCCCATCGTCAGGGAGTGATCTTTCATCAGAGATAGAAAGAGAGAGAGAGAGAGAGAGAAAAATAATTTATTCATTTGGAGATATTATGGAGTGCCTCTATGTGATATTTTGCGCTCCAAGTTTTTTCGTAATATATTTTAAAGACTATTTATATTACTCGAATACCTTGTGATTTTTTCATCAACTAAAAGCGATTTATAAATATCTTTACGACTTCATAATCCAAAACTTCATTGTTCGTTTCATTCAACTCAAACAATATCAGAAAACACAGAAAAATCAGTTACTGTTGCTGATGTTTATGTCGTTACACAATGCCGTTTAATCTAGGTGCAAATATATTTGACCTATATCAGATTATGATCCATTCATTTATGATTGCCTTACAAAATAATACATAAATAAAATTTTGTTAAAGAAGAGTTTTTAACGCATCATATTTTTCAAAGTAATGATTCCATAATCGATTGATATCGATTTGCCTATAAAAGTTTTTCATAAATGTTTTCATAGCTTCACTGATTGATTTTTAAATTTTATTGAAAGTATTGTGTTTGACATCTAATTATACTAGTAACATAAACTGCTGATAGTTTTGCGAACGAATCTATCGAAAATTTCAATGTTGAAACAAGTGGGAAGAACATAATGAAACGTGAAATTTGTAATGTTAATATAAAACTTTTAACAAAATTTGCGAAAATGACAAGACGCATTTATTAAACGCGCCGGTTTACCAAATTAGAACCGTAAGCTAGTCGGTTGTTACATGGTACAAAACTTTGCGTATTTGAATTTAGAATATCATATGAAACTCTGAAGAAATATTTCTACTAGTAGTCGATGATTGACCAGAACAACAGCACAAAGTTGTAGAATAGTATTCAAAAGATAGCGGATTGTTTATATATCAAATTACTACGATACATTGATAAGATTCACCTGTGCATCTTGAAAAAAGACAAAAACTCAAGACGACCTTTTTAACACAATTCTACGACTCCTCTGGGTAACTTAAACATCCATACGCTGACTTAATTTTAATCTTTTCTTTATTGAATATTATCAATGATGAGAATTTCTGCTAGAAGACATTTTTTAATAACGAACTTCCATATTTTATAGCTACAAAATGAAATTTTCAAATAAATCATCTAGATAAACAACAGAAAATATGCTGTTATCTTGTTTCAGTCACATGTTGAAAAATCTTCTTATATTTACATACTTTTTTCTATGCAAAACAATTATATACTATCAAGGCTTTGTTGAGTCATCTTTAACTGTGCATCTTTAAGAATGAGATTGAAAACGTCACAGAATTGTAAAAAGATTCTTTCTTTTTCATTGATGATTAGTATGATTAATGTTGTAATTCATTGTTTAGATTTAAATGAAGAAGAATAAACGTCAAACGACACAATCAGTTAAAAAACTAGTTATTGTTGGTGATTCTGATTGTGGTAAAAGATCATTACTATTTTCATTTTCAACAAATGAATTTATTACCGATTACACATCACGTACGCTTGAATTACCTACTGTTACGATACCTATTGATCAGAAAACTGTAAACATATATAATAATTAAATGTTAATTCGAATATCTGATTGTTATGTTCTAGATTCATTTGACTCTTGTTGATGTATCTGGTACAGAACATTTTCATGGTCTTCGTTCATTAGTTTATAATGAAACACATATTATTCTTATATGCTTTAGTGTTGATAGCCCAGTATCAGCTAGAAATGTTTTAAATAAATGGGCACCAGAAATTAGAATTCAGTGTAATAGATGTCCAATAATATTAGTTGCATGCAAATTAGATCTAAGAACAGACGCACAAACGATTGCTACCCTTTCAACAAGAGATGAAGTACCTGTAACAACTGAAATGGGACAACAAATAGCAGCAGAAATCAAAGCCAATGCTTATATGGAATGTTCAGCAAAAACTCACGAAGGTGTACAGGATTTACTTCTTGAAGCTGCTCGTCTATTACCGAAAAAGCATTCACATCGTACTGTAAAATGTCGATGTATTTTACAATGACTATTCGTTGTTACTTTTTTTGTTAACAAACAGTAACAATTATTCTTTTTCTTTCCATTGAAATTCTATCAATAAAATGTGAACTCCAATTCTATGTTGTCATACGACCTCTCTTTATTTTTCTTGATCTGTTCAAATGATAAAACCAATTAAAATCATTGTCCGATAATTTTTGAACTAAGTAAGTAAATATTGAAGATTTGATTTAGAGTTCAGACACACCAAAAAATTTAAAACCGAATTAACCAATGAGATCGCTAGAAACTTTAAAACACCATTAAAGTTATCGTGATCTTTCTTTCTTTCTTTTTTTGAGACGAATTAGCGTTAATATACACCAATCAGATATGATTTCGATCCACCAATAGAAATGAATATGTGGCGCCTTCTACATCTACGTTTTTTTCTAGTGAATGCTGTATAATTTTTTTTGCTATAGTTTTACTTCGTAAATATTATTTCTCTGTTTTTCAATAATTCTGAAAGTTTTTTAAGAAAAAAAACGCATAATAAATTTTTTGCTTATGTTTTGTAATATAATAATTTGTGATTGATCTAATGATCTATTTTAAAAATAGAATTTATTCCATTAATTTATTAACAATGCTTTTGAGAATGGTGTGTTATTAAGCGGACACGCACGTTAGCGACACTTCTCATGCATTAATAATTTTTACTCTGCACCTTACATACATGAAAGAGGCTTTTTTCATATTTTCATTGATGAATTCATTCTTTGGCGTGGACGCCTGTTGAATTAAAGCAGAGTTAATTCTAACGAATTTTTGGGATGTCTGGGGTCTAAGACTAAATTTTAAAAAAATCGTTCATTGTTGCAACTATTGTGTCGATAATGATTTGATGAGAAAAAATCGTGCATAGTATTTCGATATCGGTTGACAACGAAACCGAAAAAAGTCGTTTAGTGTCACTGACAACAAATGCAAATTTACTCCAATCGTAGAATTAAATACTACCTGTTGTTCTGATTTATGGAGCCAAGTGAAAATGTCAGATATTGATGCTAACTGCTTACATCTACTATTTCAGGCTAAAACTTGTTGGAAGCTTTTCACTGACTTCTAGAGAATTTTGCTGTAGATCTGTATTAGAAATAAATACTATGCACATCGTATATCTACAGGAAATCTCGTCGAAGACAATAGCTCTTAAATTTCTATATAACATACACTGGTTACATGGTGTGCCCGCAAAGTTTGAAAGTATTGAATCAAGTATGAAATTATTAATTTGTTTTTCATTAATTTTAGAACTAAATAAAAAAAACATATTGTATCCCAATTACTAATATGTTCCAATGTCTTTATTAATTCTTTCTTTTGATTTATCATCGGATAAAATCGGTATACAACTTTATAATATTTTAAATTCTTCATTATCATCCAATTATCCACATATAGCTTCATTTTGTTCATCTGATCAATTGCTTTCTTCGCCGACGAATGATTATGAGAAAATTTTCTCGAATTCTTTAAAAACAGATTTACTTTCTCACAATGATCTTGTTGGTTTTATAATTCTGATTGATATAGCAACAACAAGTAAATTACATCTTAAGGATCTTTCATCGATAAAATCACTTCTTGTACATCTAAACCGAAAACATCCGTTTCAGCAAATTCTCACATTTATTATCCATGCTCATTCAACAAATCAATTGTATACATCAGCATTAACCTGTTTTAATTTAAATCTTATGTTCTATTACATTTATCCATATGTTAGTGGAATTATTTTTAATAGTATTGATCAAATAAATGTTTATGAAACATTTCATTCAATAGTTGCTTCACAAATTGCATTAATCTTTCTTCCTGTTTCATCATTACGTGAAGATAAGAGACGAATAAATCAAAGTGTTTGTATTGAATTTTTACAATTTGTTCAACATTTACTCAGTAATCCTAACAAAAAGATATTAATTATGTCGAATAACATTAATAATAAAAAATTTCTAAATAAATCTTCTTATGCAACATTACTTATTCAACGAGGAAAACCTTCATTGTCAACAAATGATATTGAATTAAAAAATTTTGATATATGGAATTCGTTAGAAACAACTCGTGATCGATTACAAATAACTTTAATTATAAATAATGATGAATTTAACAATGATTTACTTGATAAATTAATAGTACAACCATATAAACTCAAAATGAATATGAATAAAGCTTATTTGTATTGGTTAAGAAAAAAATTTGATATTGAAAATCTTGAAGAACAATTAAATCAAGGAATTCAATTATGTGAAAATATTATTACAGGAAAATAAAATATCTCACTGAAAAAAAGCCTGTTTTTTAGATAAAAATAAATCTTTATGTAACTTTTGAAAGTCTGTAAACGCACACATAATTAGCATAGAACTTTTGTATTTTTGATTTATAATCTCCACAGTAATATCAGCTTGTTCAATACAACAAAACAATTTATGATTGTCTAGTGTAACTAAATAGCCATCTCTGAAAAGCTTCTACTACTTTGTTTTACAATGACGAATGACGATATTTCTCAGGGGGGAGTATTAGTAAGATAATAATATTAAACTTCGAAGAGAAAATCCTAGAAAAAAATACACGCATTCAAGCTTAAAGAGACCATAGTATTCCAGTTCACTGAGTCCATCATTGTTAGTTTGATGTTTTCTTTTACACCCCCGAATTCTTGCGCATCAAAGTTGCTTGTGGAAGAAATGAAAAAATGTTCTACCATCAAAAGGCGATTAATTCAATCCTTGGAGAAAAAAAAAGATAGACCTTGAATCTGCCTATATCGTTAATAACAAGACTTAGGAGCACGCTTTCGAGAATTTACCAGGGATTAAGCAATATTAGTATAGATTCGTGATAATAGTTATCATAAACGATAAAACATGCGGAATGAGAAGGATTATAACTTCGATTTTTCTTTTTGCATGCAGCAGATCTTTCGAAAGACATGATGAAAATTTGTTCGTTTAAAGTTTAATTTGGTTTTCGTATAATCTTACAATAAACTATGAGCTCGTAGTTTATGTCTATTAGGATTAAAATGTCTCGCCAAGATATAATTAATTTACAGAAGGTCAAAAACAATCTCCTTTTTCTTATTAGAAACAAACAGTTTGACTTTGACCAGTAAACACTATTAATTGAGATTCTTTTGGTTTTGATTAATTTTATAGAAAATGTTTATGTAAGTTTAGAGAGTAAACGTTACAATTTTCAATATAAACATCAATGGATAGATAATAATCCAAAACAAGAATTGATGTAATATTTTGTATTCATTACAACTCCTATCTAAAGAATAATTTCTTTGCAGAATAAGTGTTTTAGGGGTTCCTTGATCCAGATTAATATTCTATGAAGTAAGAACACTAGCAAGAAAAAAGAAACATTTGTAAAAAAAAAAGATTCAGTTTATCAACAAAGATGTAAATGAGTCTATATTTATTGATTACCATAAATATCCAGTCGACAGATGGTGAGCTATCGTCAAGTATATGCGATGATGAATGCATTATATTGGTTTTTAATTACATTGAGTACTAGTTAGCTGACTTTTAGATAGAAATAAATTAATTATTTAAATTAATTTTTTCATAAAAATAACTTTTGGAGCAAACCTATTATTTTCAATAGCAACAATTGAAATCGTAAAATTCTTCATTTAGGATAATTTTTCTTGGCAATCTGCTCGTCTAGCTTTACCAAAACGCTGATACTCATGTAGTTTTTCACACTTGATAAAAAAAAAGCATTACAATTTTACTTAATGATCATATAGAAAACGCATCATCCATGATGGAATAAAATAAAATAAAATAAAATATAACAAAACAAAAAAAAGTACTCATGACATTGAGGTCATATTTAATGCTGTTTAACGTCATCCAAATATATATGCCATATTCATAATGACAGACAGCGATTTAGAATCCAACATGTTCTACGTGAAAGTCAACAGATGTTAATAAATAAATCCTATAAGATATGATCATCTGTAGAAGTTCAACAATAAACAATATTATCCGTTAAATTAAAAATGATGAATGAAAAACAAATGATTAATAGATTCATTCTTCTCATGCATGGTTATGTGATCTTAGATAATTCAACAGAAAATAAAAGAAAATACATCAAAGTATATGTGAGGAATGATCTTCAGAGACACGAAAAACTTCAGAATAATCCGGTCTTGATTTTAATAATACTACTAAAGAAATTTTTTCTATTATTGAACGTTTCCTCTCAATTTTTAATCATAGAAAATACTAATAACACATACACAACATCAATTATACGTCCAATACCCATTTGTCAAGAATGAATAGTTGTTAGGGAATTCGTTACACGTCATCCATTGTAGCTGAATTAGTCATTCTTTACGAATATTTCTTTGTTAGCAGCTAAAAGTATAGAGGAAGTCTCTCAGCTACTCATTCATTTTTTTTATTCTGGATTATGTGCATCATGTAGAATCTAATAATCAAATACATAACGTAGAAAGACTTTGATACTTTGACTTATTCTTGTTGAGCTACTACACTTTTAAGATATTACTGATATCAACGGCTTAATACTCCACCGAAGCACTAGAGTAGCTGAAAGTCAGACTTGAAGTTTGTTTTTTTTTTTAGAAAAAAACAACACATTGTATTTATTTGCTGATGAAAATTTCAAAGCATTTTATTTTCTTCTATCCTGAAATAAAAATATCGACCGTACGAGTACGAATAAGAGATGCGAAATGATGCTTTATTCTTATCATAGTCACATATGAGGATATGAAAAACGGAAGATTGCTAGTTTCCTTTCTAAACCATTGCTATAAAAATACTTCGTAATATTGATTTTTTGTTGTTCATACTAGTGAGGACTAATACAGAATCAACTTTTAGAACAATGCATAATTTTGCAGCAATCAGTAAACCCTCGAATTCCTATTCAAAATAATCATACCTTTATTAGAATCTACATGACTTACATAGTCCTAAATAAATAGTAATTTATCATTGAACAATTGTTGTTTATTTTAATTCGCTAAATGCATTTAACAAGAAATAATAAAGAAAAGAATACCGAATATATAATTTTATTATTATTGAGACGTCTCGTCAATTACTGTTAATATTAACGTCGTTCGTCAAAAAAAAATGAAGTTACATGAAAGAGAAACGTTATATATAAGTTATGAGTGCTATTGCTCATTTGGACGAGAGAAAAATAAGAGAAGCAATAAGATAATAAAACATTTCTTTTTCATGTAACTTCATTTTATTTTGACTGACGAAGTTAACAATAGTTGACGAAACGTCTCAATAATAGAAAATGATATATTCGATACTCTTTTCTTTACTATTTCTTAGTAATTTATCCGTTGAGATAACTGGTGTCGCAAACTTTAATGATCTATGTCCATACAAACATTGCATGTAAGTTGTTTATTTATTCTCTCATCTTGAAAATATTATCATTTTTTTCTCAAGTAACAAGTTTATTCTATATTCATGTTAAAATTCGATGAATATTAATACTTATTCTTTTGAGAAACATCATATTATAAGAAAGAGCAATTTATTAGAATATATTTTTCATAAACACATTCCTGCATTCATAAATAATTAATAAGACTAAAAATTCCATAAATCTATTTTTCAATGTAAAAGTAATAGACAATGATTAGAAATTTTTCCGCTCTCTCTTTCTCTTTCTCTGCATAATATTTTATTTCATTATAATTCTATAACGAAGAAAAAAATTAAACACTTGTGGATTTGGATACATAAATCAACATAAGTTTTCACCTTATTTCATAACTTGATAGCATCAATATTATTTTTCCTTAAAAGAATGTTTTACATAAAATAGGAATTTAGATATATTTCTATAGTACCTTAAAATACAGAAGAAAAACGCAGATATCTGTGTCTATCATCTACAACATATACATAGTACATGAAAAATCATGACTAGAAAATCAGACAGATTTGTGTTTTAATGTCCTAACAACGAGATTAATCATGTTTTGTGTTTTAAGATTCGTTACTTGAAGCAAAAGTTGACGTAGCATGTTTTCGTTCTGAACGTTGTTTCGTATGAGTTTTTATATGCCTTGTAATCATATCTCGTCGACATGCTGTATATGAACATTGCGGACATGTATAGGGCTTTTCACCAGTATGTGTACGAAGATGTGTGGATAAATGATCACTACGTGAAAAATATGTATTACATATTGCACACCGATATGGACGAGTACCAGAATGCAAACGAAAATGTCGATTTAACATATCACTACTAAAAATAAATTCGAAGTAGAAATTCTTTTTTTCTCTCAGTAAATAAAATTTTACCGTGAAAAATGTTTCGAACATATTTTACATGAATAGTTACGTGAATTACTAGATTGATCATAGTTGCAGTCGAAATCTAATATATCTGATACATCATTTTGACATGAATTTTCAAGATGAGTACGATAATGAGCTAAATACCTGAAGGATAAAAATGCACTGGATTTATTGAAAAACCTACTTTTGCTTTATCTTATTTTTTTAATATAATCTTACATTTGACGTGAATCGAATTCTTGTCGGCAAATATGACACAGTAGAACCGATGATGAATCTTTAGAATTAAGTGAATCATGTTTTTCTGTTTTGAATCTTGATTAAAAATAGTTGATTAATGTCTATAGGCATGAATTCGTCAATCTAGTGTTTACCTTGAACTAACAGGTGTAAAAAGACTTGACTCATCACATAACATTTGTGTTAATGTCGATAATTGAGCAATACTTCCTTGTGCATTAGCAGCAAGTTGTTCCTGAGATTGAGGAAACAGAAACCTGGAGGAAGAGGTCGGTGTATTATACCATGAAGAATGATATGGACCGGGATCACTTGATGCTGAATAAGATGTCAAGGGTAATGAGATTTTATTAGGAAATGATGATATTCCTATATCTGATTCGTATTCACTAAAATGTTGAAAAGGTAAACGCCATTGATCGCAGTTATTGTTTGTTTGTTGTTGTTCAGAGTATGATTGTGGAAAGGAAGCAGATTCATTATCATCCTCATCATGTTGATTAGATTTTATTTGTTCTGTATCATTCGATGTATCATCTGTATCAATAGTTGAATAATGTTGTAATAAACCTCGTTTACTCTGTGAACGTGCAATTGACGAAGAATTTGCTTGCATTGATACTGATGATAAATCAAATGAATGAGATTTAGAAGTTATGATAGGTTTGCTAATAGTCGAAGATGATGAGAAGTCAAATGAATTTACATTAGCACTATGAGATTTTGTAAAAGCTTCTTTACGAGAATCATGTTCACGAAGCTGTTGCAGATAACGACGTTGTAAATAATCCTTTAATTTACCTTTAAATGTCTAAAACAGTGAAGAAAAAACAAATTCTTACTAAAAAACAAACATTTTTACTCACTCGTGCATTTAGATTTAATGATACTTGATCATTATTAGTATCACTATCAAATGATGATTTTGATAATGTAGAAAAAGGAGAATTGCATGTTGATTCAATAGATGTTTGTTTTTGTGGCTTTGTTACATTTGACAAATTATTTTTACTTTGATTATATTCAACTATTCGTGTTCTTGGAAAAAATTTTCGAAGAACATCAATAACTTGATCTAATTCATTTGAATTACTTTCAATGATTGCATAACTTCGTACTGGTGAATCGACATCTTGACAAGTAGTACTATTTGGATTTAATATTACATTGTCTTGTTTGCCAATCTCGGATTGATCATCAGTAAATGAATCTTTTTTTGTCGCATGCATTGAAGATATTCGAATAGCACTCTATGATAGAAATATTTTAATACACATAATCCCATTGACTATGTTTCTGATTGTAGGTTTTGTGCATTCAAATGTTATTTTATCTAAACAATAAGATGTGTTTTTGTTTTTATATGCGCACCATATTTCATATAAATACACGTGCGACTGAAAATGAAACGCATACTAAGAATAATTGCCATGTAAATTGTCTTGTGGATCATTCCACCAGAAACCTCCAGGTTCATCCGGTAACCAAACCAGAATCCATTCAAAGTTACAGGATTTGTAGAGGACATTTTCGTAATAAATTTTTTCGAAATAAATTCTATTTTTGCGAAGGCGTATGTCAAATACAAAAAGTACACGTTTTTTTTTACCCTAAATAGGAAAAGCTTTTTTCTCGAAAAAGTGATGAGAATCTCACTTTTCTACTCGGATTTTTAAATCAACCATATATTCAGAATCCTTGTGAAAAACTGCATCAGAATCCGTAAGAATTAAAATAATTTTGAAGCGTTTTTACGGACTGCTAAGTCACTTTGTAATACACTAGTGGGAAACCGTGTTTGAAAAATCTATGTTTCGATCAGAATTAACCAGAATATTGGCACTAGCAGTTCGACAGAGCGAAACTTGCTCTACAACATGTACCAGTTAGTTTTTTTCTTCGCGACTGCGATTTGAGGGTGTGGGAACTTCAAAACTGTTTTCTATGACAATTTCCCATGAATTTATTAGTCAAATCTAATGATTTTACTTTATTAAGTGCATTCAAAGTCTATTCTGACGCATATAAATTTATTAATTGAATAGTGTGTCTTGTTCGAGATATTTAGTTTTCAAAAATTGAAAAAAGTCCATTTTTGTTGGAACAATTTTAGTACAAAGGAAGTGTCGGATAAGAACGTCCCCGCTTAATAAAATGATCATCTCATTGAATAGTATCTACTCATAAGGTTTCACTTGCCTATCATTTAAAATGGATATATTCCAAGTATGAAATTTTGGCTAGGAAATGACAAAGTGTGTTCCCCATTTAAACCCCTTTGCATAATTTTCAAATTTGTTAAATGCACAGCTATGCTAGCAGACACAAGCCCTACAAACCGTGAAAGTTTGTTTTCATTCTCATGAAGCCAACCTAGAGTCTGGTACATTCTCAAAAAGTCAACCTCATATTATTTGACCGTATCGTTATGAAAATAAAATCGAACATTAAATAATTTAATACCAAAATACTCAACAGAAATTCCTCTACAAGTCCTGAACGTTTCAAGAAATTTGAATGCACTTAATAAAGTAAAATCATTAGATTTGACTAATAAATTCATGAAAAATCGTCATAGAAAACAGTTTTGGAGTTCCCACACCCTCAAATCGCAGTCGCGAAGAAAACTAACTGGTACATGTTGTAGAGCAAGTTTCGCTCTGTCGAACTGCTAGTGCCAATATTCTGGTTAATTCTGATCGAAACATAGATTTTTCAAACACGGTTTCCCACTAGTGTATTACAAAGTGACTTAGCAGTCCGTAAAAACGCTTCAAAATTATTTTAATTCTTACGGATTCTGATGCAGTTTTTCACAAGGATTCTGAATATATGGTTGATTTAAAAATCCGAGTAGAAAAGTGAGATTCTCATCACTTTTTCGAGAAAAAAGCTTTTCCTATTTAGGGTCAAAAAAACATGTACTTTTTGTATTTGACGTACGCCTTCGCAAAAATGGAATTTATTTCGAAAAAATTTATTACCAAAATGTCCTCTACAAATCCTGTAACTTTGAATGGATTCTGGTTTGGTCACCGGATGAACCTGGAGGTTTCTGGTGGAATGACCTTTGTTCTGCTGGTATAAAAATAAATAACAGCATGGAATCATTAAATTAGAGCTTTAGATCGGTAGACAGAGAAGTAGTTGGGGAAAAAAAACGACGACATAATTATCTGTTATTTATATCAAGCATTAAACATATTAACTAGATACAAATGTCTATTCTATAAATTAAATATATATATATAGAAAATCTATGGCCACTAAGTTATTAAATAGAACAGATAGATTTTCTTTAACAAAACAAAAAACTAATAAAGAAAATGCTTTTTAATCTTTAAAATATTAATAATAAAAACCTAAGGTTTCTTTTCTGTAATCAAAAATATGCCCCGCAAGAGTAGGAAATTAAGAGAGTCGATGTTAATAAAAAGTATATAAATTTGAAAATCAAAGACTTCAATGAATATTTTGTCTATGTAACATAGGAAATGTGTCAACATTATAAGGTATTATAGAGAAAATAGTTGAGGACAAAACATAACTTAATTGACTCAAAATATAGAACGAGAAAATATGAGCACGAGATTCTAATCAAAACGGATTCAAATAGACAAGAAAAAAATGAAGGTGGACATGTTGTCGAAATCATCGATGATGTCATAATGATAGTAGATTATCTTTTTTTTTCAGATATAAAGTAAAAATGAATAGATACGTTTTTCTTCTTCTTGTCATAGACTTGAAATAAAGAATGAAGATTGGAAACAAAATAATAAAATCTTCTTTTCTGCCGTTTCTCGAGAAAAAAAATGAAGCACACATGAAGCATGAGACTGTTTCTACATGAAGGAAAAAACCTAACACGACACACATATTGCACTATATAAAAGAGCAACAACAAGTGATTAGTTTTCATTCATTTGAATAAGACAATAATATTATTGATGACGAGAGAGAGAGAAAAAAAGTGAATATGAGATAAGGCGAAAAAGTACTAAATAAAGCGTAGAAAACACCTATGCTTTACATCTTCCGTTTTTCTTTTTATTTGTTACTTAATATGCAGAAAAAAAGAAACACTTAAGGTTTCTTTTTTTTTCTTGTTTTCTCACGCATTTTTAATATTCTCTTAATCGTAGCTAATGCATTTGAGATGACGATTTGCTTTTGCACGACAATAACAGAAAATATACCTCAAGCAAATAAATTTTATTAGAAATAATGTATTAACAAATTCAAATTTATTTTTACGCAATTAAGCTAACTAGACACTAAACAAAAGTTTTAATATTGATAGACATCATACTTTTATTATCATACGATTTGTGTATTGTAACAGATGGTGAATATATAGGGCCCTAGATAAGCTACAGTCATTGATAATATATCATTAATGAAAGAAGAAAAAAGAAATGATGCATTATAAATATATCTAGGCAATAGTCAATGTCACCTATATTTTATCATCCAATATAAGATTCCTTATAATATCGGTAATTCAGGCACATTATTCTAATTTTTTTTCTCTATTTCTCCTCTGAAGTTGAAAATTGTATTTAGTAAAAGTATTGATTTGTATTCAGAAAAAAAACGTCCATTTAATTGCATCACACTAAAGGAAATTAGCAGCATAGACGACAGTTAAATTTCTCTCGTATAAATCATTACTCGAAATGCAAATGAGTATTTTATGGCGACATCTTTAAGAAATAACTGAACTTCCGATGACAAAAGTAGGCGTATATAGCTGAGAGCGTGTTTATGATAGAGCTAGATCGATCTGATATTGTTTTACTCGTAAAGTTACTTGTCTAATCAATATTAATTCATAAAAAATAGATATTTCAATTTTAAGAACAGATAGAAGCATGATGAAGAACGTAAAATATGGGTCTTTCGTTACAAAAGTGACTTCTTTTATTTATGCAAAAGCTTTCTGGGTTCGTTGCTGAGTGGTACATAAATAAATTTTTGCGGAAGTGTGCTTAAAGGAGCAAATATTTCGATGAAAAAGCGAATAAAAAAAATTGAGAAATGAATCATTTCATTTTCAATAGAAAAAGAAATATCTATCTGTGAAATATTGTGTCTGTATTGATGATGAATTTTATCTATAACCAAATTAATTAAAAATAGTTCTGTTTTTTAACAAGTGGAATGACAGACGGGAGTCGTCATAATTCACGAGGAAGATAGTTTGAAGAAAAACAGTTGTTACAAATTAATTTGTCTCCACATGAGCGAATCTATCGTTCAGTGAACAGCATCTGTCAATAGAATAAATACAGAAACACATCACATTGAACGTGTTTAATCATGAACATGTTTCAAACCAAAATACAATTCTTCTGGCTGCTCCTATTGTCATCGTTTTGACTTTCTATTTTAATTCATTCAATTTAATTAAGTAAGTTTTTCTAGCATATGGCAAAAATTTTATTTAAAGTTCAATGCCGTTGTTGTTGATATAATTTAGCTACACTAATAATCATAAAATAACTAACCATTGATATACCAAAGTGGGGCCGACTGACTGTTAGTATAGAAGTTCTCATGCCCAATGGTTTACTAGCAGTTTCGTCGCATTCTAATTCCAGAGGTATTATTTCTGTTTTCTCTAATTTATTCTAGAATAGTTTAGTTTAGTTGATCGTATAATGATTTTCCAGTTGTGCGCAATTTGAAAACCATAGTAATGCTTAAACTTTTTCGCAACTGTGTTTAGAAAATTTAACTAACGAAAAATGAAGACTTCTATAGTTCGTAGGCGAATTAAAATGCAAGGAATATTACGCACTAATTTCTAAGGCACATTCAAAGCGTGTCTAGTTTCTTTCATCATCTATATCACCAACAGGTGTAAATATAAAGCTAATATTTTGCGTAAACAGATAACTTCACGCGATACAGTTTATTTTATTTAATTCTAAATAATCGAATTTCAACTATTCGTATTTTAAATTAGAGAAAGAATGCATTGGTTTGACTCAAATGGCTATGAATTTAAAGTAATTAGATACAATATTCTAGCTGCCGAATATCTATGACATCTTGATGAAATTTGATAATGGCAATCATTTTGTTTCAAATTAGTTGCTATAGATTTTCGATTTATTCCTTCTTTGTACTTTCATAGTATAGTCAATACTAGATCTTGATCATCTGAAAGTCAAAAATGATTGAAATAAATGACATATTATTATGAAATTTTTTTTTTCTAGAA